CCTATGTGACCTTGGCAAACTGCAATTCATTATAATGACAGGAACTGTTAATATTTTGGAACAGAAAATATGGAGAATATTAAAATCATACACAAGTTTTGTACACTTCTGTATAAGGACGGCACAGTGCTGCAATATAGGGAGCTGTTGCTTGTAAATTCAGTAATTTCATGCATAAATGAACACATTTAACGATTATGATTATGGGTAGTAAAAGCAGTAAAAGTAATCCTTTAAAGGAAATGCTTGGGTTTGATAAAGCTGCATTTTTCTTAGACTCCCTATTTAGAGCAGCCAGAGCTATTGCAGGAACAGAGCTGGAAAAGAAAACACACTACTGCTCACCAAACTATTTTTCTAGTTCCTATTCTAGTTACTATTGAATCCTTTAATCAACCCCAGGGTGACTCAGAGGATGTATCACCTGATTTTAAATACAGAGCATTCTGTGTAACTGTTTCTGAGTTTCCTATCTGCTTGCACCATATGTTAAGTTTCAGTAACATGTTATCTGCAAACCTCTTTTAATATCTCTAAAATGAAACTTCTAGTGAAAACAAATCTAGGTTGCTTTACTGAAAACATTGCCAAAACTGGGCAGAGAGAAAAAGCATGGCCTCATTTCATAGTATAAGGCAAAATTCCAATATTCAGCTTTTAACCATCTGGACAGACTGCACAGCAGTTCATCTGCAAACCAACTTTCTTAACCGTTTTCAATAATAAGCAGGTTATTTCTGTCGTAGATTTTTGTATACCATGATGCAAAAATAGTAGTTTAGTTTAACACGCGAGCACACAGTTTAGATTCTAGTTCTACAATGTGAGAAACCTCAGAATTTGATCATTATACCATAACCTTACTGTTGTGTCTTATATTAGGTTTTTAATATTACTTTTTTTCAAATTCTTCTATTAAAAATACAAAGAGGAAGGCAAATACCACACATCTTGGGTCCACCTGTTATTTTTAATTTAAAAATAAATAACACCTGCATAAATTAAATGTTCTGAATTACAGCAAAACATTTATCTTTTGTACCTGTCATATATTTTTTTCAGTAGTTTCTCCACATGGAAGGCACTGTGGTGTAAAGTTAATTATTTATACCATTCCATAAAACAGGTGTATTAAAAGCTAGTCAGTCTTGAACTGTTTCAACTATAGGAGCTCAACCCTTCCTTATTTCGATTGGACTGCAAATTCATTTCTTTGTTTTGTTCAGTAAACTTTATTATTTTCTTGATGAAAAAACACAACACTAAAAAAAGATAAGTTAACTAGTCATGTGTTAACTAGTCACATAATCAGATACTTCCATGCATATGAGTTCTTGAGTTTTACTTCATATCAAAGTAATATATTTTAATGAATACAAAATCTCATAAAAATAATAAATAATAATGATACTAGTGGTAATAACACATTGAGAAAATAAAAGAAATTAGCTGAAACATGCAGCAGTTAGTGCTTTCCCAATAGAAATACACAGTTTTACTAATGCATGAATGAGTGGTTTTCTTCCAAAGTAGCATTTCCCAGCAGAGAAACAGTTGATTAATTTAGGTCCCTAGTTAAAAAAAAGCATTTTTAGTCTTACTAATCTGTTGTGCAGTTTTGTATGTCAATCTTATATCAAACCATCATAATATTTAATACAGTACAGCAGCACTCTCCCCCCAGGATTTAAACCCACGACCTTCAAGTTATGGTTCCAGAAACGCAATCACTGCTCCACACAAGTGCCTATGCTAGTGTAATTAGTTAAACTACTAATTACTAAACTGGTTAATTTGATCTCCTTGGTAGGATACCCAGCACCCCAAGGGGTCCGCCCTATCACATTTTGATTGGATGACTGTTTATTGTGTAGCATAAGAGAAGGGGAAAGCTATAAATACACTTAATTCCTTTCGTCTATAACAAAGTGTTTTGGAAAGATGTAAGAAGTATACTCTCTGGAAAAAATATTGTAATAGACACCTTAAATTACATTTGAGTCATAATAAGTAATAAGTTATACTCATAATCTGTACTATATTTTTATGATTTGGGGGCAGTTTTCTGGTTGATTTTATGGCAGTTATTAGGAATTTTTGCTCTGAGGTTGGTAGTGAGAAGTTGTGAAACAGGGTAGTTATTTTTCTAGCTGATTAACTCAAGTGGTAGATTTATGTACTTATAGACAATTAACCAATCATCCTGCTCCATGTGTTCTAGAAGCTTTGCTATCATAATAACGAGACATAATTAGTATCATCTTCCCATGGGTTTTAAGTCTGAACTCCTTTAAAGGAATGGTTCCCTACTCAAAATCGATACTCCAGGATTTTTTAATACTGACATTTTTTTTTGTTTCAGCAGTGAAACATGAACCATGGGTCACAAGTTTAAACCAAATCTGCGAACAGGAGGCACTTCATGATACAGATGATTGCAGGGATATGGAAGAAGCTACCCAGCTATTTTGTTTAAACCAATGCTTTGGCTTCTTTCAAGAAGCTGCTGGATAAGATCCTTGGATCAATTAGCTATTAACTACCAGATTAGTTAGATGGGCTGATTGACCTCCTCTTGTTTGTAACCTTTGTTACGTTCTGTCTTAGAGGTGAAAAGTGGGTGCTCATCTTAAATAAACAAATATTATGTACTGTATACCAAACAGGCATATTATATTGTTCAGGTGGGTAGCTGCGTCAGCATGCGTAGGCTGCAAAGGAACAAGTAATAGGTTTATTCCATGCTGAAAAAAAGAAGAAAGAGAAAACAACGTTTCGGCCGTGGAGCTCACACCTGAAGAAGGCTCCAATAAACCTATTACTTGTTCCTTTGCATATTATATTGTTGCAGATCATATTTTATATCCTTTACTGATACCCTTCAAAATTAATTAAGCCTCCTTTGGTATATGTTATTTTTTAATGCTTAAGTGCACACCCAGTTTATAAGACTACACATTAAAGACTGATATTTTCTGCCTGGAGCGTTGGATTCCATCATTTTGGAGCTTAGCATACTCATATTATGCTAAATTATGAAATCAATATTGTACGTTAATAGGTCTGTAGAAAATTCTATCATTTAGAGATCAGGTGTAATTTCAGAGGGATCTACAGTATGCAGTTGAGTTTCACTTCTGGCTTGTGATATTAAATATCAAATGAACTATTGTGGAGCTTTCCTTTGTTCTTACTTAAGCAGTGCAAACTAAAATGATGAACCAGATGCATCAGACTTTAGAGACACATTCTCAGTTGTCTCTTTTGGTCTATTAAGTCACCTATGCAGGGAGATCCTTGGATCAATTGAAAAATCTATACTATTGAAAAACTGTGTGCTACGTGGGAGTGCAATAGACAAATGAAAATCAAACAATGTAACTTTGCAAAGCAAAAAAGGTAGTATTGCCTTAAAATAATTTGCCCATGATTGCTATACATTCAGTTTTCATAACCTGATCATTTTTAATTCAGAAATACATGTTTCTAGTGCCACTCCTTCATGACAGAAATTGGCAAATTGGCAAATACTTGGCAAAGGAACTGTTATTAAATGTACCCATATGTGAATTTGGGCATAAAAGAAGACTAATAAACTTTAATTTGCAGCTTTTTCAGGAACACAGAATGTTCTAATGCAATGCATTTCTTTAGTCAATTAATCAATCAAGCTAAAGAGCTAGAGAATTGGGTTTCATACTCAGTAGGGACCTCACCACATAGAAGCAGACACTACAGTATCACATTGGAGAAGTAGGTGAAAGCTTGTAAAAAACGGGCCTGGAATTTTACACTAAAGTTTCTAGAATTGTCCTTTGTAAAGTAAAATGTGGAACTTCTGGGCTGCTGCTGAGTGCTTCTTCCCAGAACTCCCTTATTGTACATGTGGGATGGTAACTAGGTCGACAGCCTTCATACCAGGATGATTAAATGTGCATATTAACTGTAGCAGAAAAAAACAACAACTTTTTGTTCCATGTCAAGAACTCACTAATAAATCTTGAGTAATATCAAGACAAATTGGGGCTTACAAATTAATACAGTATGCAAAAAAATACAATCTGAGATTTTGTCATCATGGAATAGTAGACCCTGTGAGTTATCAACTTATGTAAGCAATACACTTTCGCAGTTTAGTTTAATCAAGAGACCTGGGTTACAGAAGACAGTTTAATTGAGTTTAGTCATTCATTACATTTTCTGCAGTGCAGGAGGCCTTTCTCGATTTTTTGTTGCTAGCGAAGCATGTCAGATTCCATGTTACACTTGACAGCAGCAACACTATTCCATTGTCTTTTATATTTAAAGGAACAGGAAACTAATACAGTATGTTTTATGACTCACTCAATATAAATACCAGTTTGTTGTGTGGATGTTTTGTCATATATTGTAACTTACATTGAAATACATTAGTCTGTAAAATCAAGATTTTAGAACACCTTGCATATCAATCTCAAAATCTGACTAACAAGGAGAAAAGGAGACATTATAGAATATACTTTGTTGTTTTTTTCATGTGACATTTGACAAAGATGTATGAACCCAAAGAAAAGGATTCTCAAGATATGGTGAACATATCTGATATTAACACATTGTTGCATACAACCCATCATATTCTCTGCTGAGTTGCAGAACAAAGAAAAATCAGTAGAATTGAAATGCATTCTAAATTATTGTAGAGTTAGAATGGGGACCTACTTTAGTATGCAATCTGAAAAAGTACAAGGAGAGGCTTATACCATGCTGAAAGTTGAGAGAGATAGCAAAACAGAATATTTTCACTGTGAAGCCTTTTTATGATAGCTGATGTGCAGTTCCTTAATTTGAAGTCATCTGATCCCAGTGGTAATACACTCAAAAACTAAGTATTCTAGGAACAAATGGGGAATATTTGTTTCCACACATGTGATCTGATCAACTAATACCAGTACCTCGACCACCTGAATTCCCTCTGTGAGTACTTCTTGACTTTCCTGTGATGACACTCTTCTTGTTCGCAGGTGTGCATCGTGCAGAAGAGGGACACAGAGAAGATGTATGCCATGAAGTACATGAACAAACAGCAGTGCATTGAGAGAGACGAGGTCCGAAACGTCTTTAGAGAGCTAGAGATTCTACAGGAAATTGAACATGTATTTTTAGTAAACCTCTGGTGACTATCCTGCATTTTTTAATTACTTCTTTTTGTTCTGCATGCTATGACAATAGTGTTCTGTCAAAATGGGGAAATTGTGCAAACAGAGGTTTCTGTGGTAATACAAAGTCTTATCGGAGGATTGCTGCATGTCTGTTTTCTTTTATACTTTAAACTGTCTAATTTTGAATTGGCTTTGAAAACTGACCAAAGTGACTTTGCATGAAAGTCCCGACTCTTACTGCCCTATCAAACCTTTGTACTTTCATATATTCCAGCTATAAAATAATTGTTAATAATGATCATTTTATCATTGGTAGGAATTAAATAAACACGCTTGAGAGAGCAGTGTAGAATCATAAAAACAAGGAAAATCTTTCAGATAATTTGGTTAGCGACCGTTCAGATTATTTTGCAAGTACCTCTCAATTACATTTTAATCTCTGCTCTTCTTCCTTAATTCGTAAGCAAAAAATGACAGCATATTAAATACATTTCTGAAAAGGTCTGATTTCTCCAGCTCATGATGGAAATGGGACACTGAACATTGCAGGCAAGAGCAATTTGCACTTTTAGTTATTCATCTTGCTAATGTAGATCACTCATTGCTGAAGGAGTTGGCAGAGGAGTGCGTATGGCACCCTGTCATCCCTCATGCAGCCATGGGTGGCAGCCAGACTTTGCTGCGAGGGTTCGGTAAATCAGCGGCTTGCTTTTTTTTTCAGGTCAGAAGCTGTTCTGTCCCTACATTCACAGGTTTCCATGGAGACGAACCTGCATTATGATTTTCTTTTTTCTAATATCTCATTTTGTAATCAAATTGAAAAACAGAGCTGATTTTTTAACCATTATTTTGGACCACAGATCCTCCGGGTTGTTCTAAACATCCATGGCGGATAACTGAAATGGTTACTCCTTTTACCTTACTATTTAAAGAGATTCTAACGCTGTACTTTAAATGCCAGTTTACTAAATAAGCATCTTTAGAAGCTTATACAAGGATCTAGGTTGTTACATCAATGGTTCCACACATCCAAATTTAAATTGGGGTCTTAATGTTTTCTAGGCCTGTCTTAAAAAATCTAAAATCCCAGTCTGACTGTAAAAACTAAAGGCAATTCCATACATTGTGCAAATACAATAAGGAAGATTTTTTTACTAGCATTTCCGTTCATTCCCACCTAGATTTTATTTAAAGCAGTTTGTCATTTAGGGTTTCACTGGATGCCTTTAGTGTGTTGTTAAAAAAAAAACTTTCATTAGTTATTCTTTTTTTCTCAGGTTATCTGAAAGAAACATTGGAGCTGTCAAATCTGCATTGCAAAGCATATCAGTGTACTTCAGCACAGGCATAAATTCATAGTCACGATGAAAATGTGGCAGCTATTTTATTAAAAAGACTGGAGTGAATAATAAAAACTGTCCATAGTTTATTTATTTGATAAATAATCCTTTATGCTTGAGGTATTGTTAGTATAACAACTAACTTGAGGGAATTACAAGCCATTCATACTGTTGAGTATGTTTAGAGGGCTGTATATAGTCTTAAATAAAATGATAACATATTAGGTATTAAACATCTTAGTTTGCAAATGTAACCAACTCTTGCTGTAATTTTTAACAATTTCATTGTGCCCACACACACATGCAACTCAGAAGAAATATTATCACGCAGTGTAGAATACCATTTAGCCAAGTCAGTAAAAAAAATGTTTTAATACAATTTTGCTCAGTACTGTACCTACCCTGCCTGCCCAATTGTGTAATCACTCAATTATGTATCTTTATAATCTTTTGAATATTCCCTATCTTTCTTCATCCCAATTATTTTCAAGCATGTGTCTTGACTGGGCCTGTATTAATGAATTTTTTACCTCCATATGTTTGTAATAGTTTTCCACCCTCTTTTACATACTTTTACATACCAAAAATCACATGCTTTACTTTCATAAAGTAATACTACAGTATATGCACCATATCAGTTTCTTAAAAAATATTTTTTGTAATGAAATGTAGATTCCTGATTTCTTTTCATTCACATGGAAGTAGTTTTCTTTATGAAATTACAGCAGCTGTTTCAGATATTAAATGAAATTATACAATAAACATTTAGTTTACATTGTATCAATATGCATATAATTAAAGAAGTGTACAGCAATTACCTGTAGAGTTTTATATGAAAGTGAGTTTCAGTTACAAAGAAGTGCCCTAATTAAAAGAAAACCTGGATTTCTACTGCAGTTTCAAGATACTTGTTTTAGATCTCCATCTTCTCTGCTTTTGGATAAATAAAGTGAACCTTCCACAACAACAAAATGGAAATGCAAGGTATGAGTAGTCAGCTTTCATTAGAGTTTATGGGAACCAGATTTCTGTTTTATTGATAGCGCAGTAATGATGTGCCAGATGCAGTGGACTAATTGCTTTTGACATTTTAGTGGAAACAGAGAGTGGAAAAGAAAATTAAATTAGGAATGTATTTAGTCATTGATTAGCTTAGTTAAACTTAGCATCCTTAGCATATTTACCCACACAATGTAAAAAGGCTTTGGAAAGATACTCATTATTTTATTATACAGTATAAATCTTAGTTTTTCTTTTGTTCTTCCAAACTATACAAAACTGTCTTTAGCTTTCAACCCTTCACATGTAAAGTTCATAAATAATTAAAGTGATTCAGGGTAATATCCCAGATATGGCTTCATTTTTGAAAATGGTAATGCATTCTTTTGCTGTGTAGAGGACAGTGATAGATGCATAATCTATCATTTACTTTATAGTACATCCAAATGTATAAAATACATATTTATATCAATATTAATAGATTAATTATTCTATAACTGAAGAAGGGTTGTAGATTGCTACATCTGGAGGTTTTACAGAATCTACGCCTGTACAATTTCATAACCAGTAGAAGTTGGTAGTCAAGTCAAAGAATGAACCTACATCCAGCCCTAGATCCAGATATTATGAGATAAAAGGACAAGCTTGATGAACTGAATAGTTTTAGTCTTGGACAGACGGCTACAATGGAACCGGATTGAAAGGTACTGACTATCAACCCAGTGCAACCTTTTCACAGTCAAGTGTAAAACACTCATTTAAGTTTGGGAGGAGGGCTATATCCTAATCTCACCCACTTCCATTCACATAAGTCTTGCACCCAGGACTTCCGGTATGCATTTCTCTCACACACCTCACCTCCACTCTTGCAGAAGCTCCCTAGCACACTCCTTACAATGATGATGAAGGTTTGGGGAGCTTTATCCTCACAGCTGGGCTACTATTCCTTCAGCTACGTGAGTCATGACAAATACATTCTACATAATTTCATCCCTCTATCATATTCATTTTCATCTTTAAATGACAAGATCATTCTTTTAAGTCTAGAGGGTCTTAATGTCAAGACTTGATTTACAACATTTTTTTTTTGCAAAAAATCCCGGTAAATTGGTCTTGGAAAGTGATATCTTATACCATTCTCTTCTAAGATGTTTCACTGGTGACCTTATTGCACATATTGTGATCTTTACCATAAAATCTATCTACGGTGCTATCAGACTCGTTATTGTGAACTTTGCTGATTGGCTTCTCTGCATATGTGACAAATGCTTCACAGGTTTTAGTTAATTTGGCAGAGCTGTAATTGGGAACATGCCTTCCTATCTGCATAATGTGATGCAGTTCACTGTGCCATCTTACAATTTAAGATCAAGTCATTTTAATTTGCCTCTGCTAATGATTTGAATTATTTGCATAGTGAGCTGAAACTATCCAGTATTATATCTGAGGGTTACTCTGTTACATAAATTCTAAAATAGACTGTTTTAGTTTCTTTCATTGCTTTGCTTTCTTTGCCACAATGATGTAAGCCTTTTGGCCAGGCTGTCATTGTAAATATTTTTTTCTCACTTGACTAGTCTAGTTAATTAAAGGATTAAAAAACACTCATTCATATTGTTTTTTATGTTCTTGTGTTCTTATGTACATGATAGAGAAAGATGGAAACCAAATGAATATTTTAACTTAACTATACAGTACTTCATACTGTACATACAGTATAGAGTTTTTGTAATACAGTGTGCCCTTTCATATAGTCTATAACGAGCTATGTCTAGTGCACCCAATACCTCAGTGTTAAACTCTGCTTTAGAGAAAAAAGAAAAAAAAGTCACAGGTTTTGAAAATGTCAAATCGACTTTTTAAAAATAGGGAAAAAAATTAAAACCTGAATTTTACATCCACCATGCTCCGTAGTGCACAGTACTGACCAGTTTAGGTACATGGTCTACAAACAGCTTCTTTGGAATATGTACAGAGAAACGCTATGGGGAGATATACAATGACATTCCATGCCTCTTTATATTCAGCATATTAAAATATAGCAACACCCTTAATAATTGATTTATAATGTTTTTTAAATGTTTATGCCTTTTGCTACATAAATGACAGTGATTCAAATAAAAACTCTACAGCAAATTATATTTTTAAGCATTCATATGTTTTTTTGTCTTGGAAAGAATTGTTTTCTGGTCAGTTCTGGAAACAAGATATTCTGGCTACAGTACAGTCTAATAGTACTAACAATCTATTTTTTCATAAATCTAAAATAAATGGGCCTATGTTATACTCTTACACTGAGAATAATAAATTACAACAGATCCAGTATACTTTTATGTGCAGTATCTATTATAAGCATAGTATTTCTTCTTAAATACATTTTTAAAAGATTAACATAGCTATTAAAACTTATTCCTCAGTATAGACTAAGGCACCTCTTCAGAGAAGCTTAGGCAGTTATTCTTGACAGGAATATCTTCTTCTAGGAACTCATTCTGTGTATTTAAAACAATTCAATAGTTCATTTCATTGGTATTTCCAACTTGAATGTCCCTAATTATCTATTGCAATGATGGCTCACCCTGTTACTTGGCACAAAATGCTTACTTTGCATGAATGGTGGAAATGGAAAAGTGAATAATGGAAAGTATTCAATTGATGTGCTGAATCCTGAAAACAATTACAAGTAGCTTGTGGAGGCACAGACAAATGTTGCATCGGTTTTCTGGCAGTTATAATGTCTTAGAGAGAGTGACATAATAATGAAAGAGAAAGGAAGTCAGTGATGTGTTAGATAAAAACATGAATAAGGAATGTTTTCCTTAACACAACTCTATGACAAGACTTAAAAAGGAATTAAATTACAATAAAAAACAAAATCTAAAACTGAATTTTAAAATGAATGAAGTGTTTCTTAAAATCCACCTGATGTATTAGGCTTTAGAAGTCACACCCTTTCCAGAGAAATAATTTTCCATTGCAGAATCATCTGAGTGCCATTTTGATTATCTAGGTTAGATACGTTTTAAAGAATTTTAGAGAAACTTTGTTCCATTAATTCCATTTTATCTTGACCTGATTATTTCAGTTCTCTGCTAAGTGCCACACTGGTAACAAGATCTTGCCTGTCAATATATGCTATGATTATGAATTTTACTGTGTTCTTAATGAATATATGGAGGAGCTGCCTATGTCCTTCTGTACTGACATGAGTTAAGACTCTTGTCATCTTATTATATCCCTAGTATCTTATTTAAATCATATTATTTATGTTATGTACTAACTGATATCATCAGTTATTTATGTTTATGCAGGTTTATTTTTTAATGCTGAGCTGTAATTTTTAATTTAACCTGATTCAATACATGAAATGCTCATTTAAGAAACAATATGAACTTTAGAAGGCACACCCTGGAACTGTGTGTGAACCGTATATATACAGTACATCACATTCCTGCAATCCACATGTTAATTCCTAAGGACATGACATTACAGTTCGGTCTGGATTTGGTCAAGTCATTTATTCAAGTTGGTGCAGAAGTTAGCAGAAGTTGAGCCCTGGGTTCAATTCCCCCTCCCCCATTATCTGCAGGAAGGTTGTATATTCTCCCTGTGTTAGTGTGGGTTTCCTCTGAGTACTCTGGTTTCATCCCATGGTCACAATACTGTACATACTGGAAGGGTAATTAGCTTCTGGGAAAACTGGCCCTGATGTGAACAGGAGTGCATGTCTGTTTTTGTGTGCCCTGCAATGGACTGGTGTCCCACCTTGTGATCATTGCTTGCTGGGATAGGCTTGGGCTATCTAGTGAGCTTGGATAAAGTGGTTAGAAAAAGGAAGGATGGATTTATGACTTGAAGAAATCCTGTAGGTTTACTTCTAAACCTGTAGTCTGAATAGCAAAGTGCTGATTTAAATAGCTATGGAAGAATATATCTGACAAATTCTTTTTCTCCTTACTGTGAAATTTGAAGGTTAGAAAGTCAATGTCCAGGACTTTGCATTCCTTATGTCTGCTGTTTATGAGACACAGAGATTAAGATGATGTGAAAGCAGGTACAGTACTGCACTATCATAAAACTCTAATTCTGGATTATAACTGGATATGGATAGAGTGAAGTAAGACAACACACAACAACTGAAACATTGAACAGCACTGCAACATGATATATTTCCAACTTTATCACTGAAAATATGAGGGTAAAGAGCAATAACTCATTCATATTATTAAATCCATTGTGTTGTTTTTTTCATTCTTTTTAAGTGCAGTTTCATAGTGTGCTGAGGTTTTTACTCTTATTTACAAATATGATACAAAGTCATCAGCCATTGGAGACCTCAAGGCAATTACAGTCCCAGAACCAACAATTTAATGAATTTCTCAGTTTATGTATTTGATTCTGTATTCCATGTTACATTTGCAGTTTTTTACTCTTTTTCTCAGTTCTGATTGATTTGCAGCATCTGTTTGAAGTGCTTTGACATGGTGTGAACTGGACAGAACAATGCAATGCTTCCAATCATACTCCAGCTAACGACAACACTCTCTCTTGCAAAGTAGTACAGAATGGTGTTTTGGGGAAAGGACGACTATAAGACTTTAAGGTCTTGGAAGCATAACCATGACATCATTTCAATTTAGTAACACTGATTTTAGTGTACTGTTTCTCATTTTTATTTTTTGCCACCCCTACTTTAAAACATTTTCTTTCTGTATTTTGATTAAAAAACATTTCTGATGAAATAGTCTCTAAGAAAAACCAACTAAGTAATTAGCATAAAATAAATGATTTGTGAAGCTTGCAGTAAACCTTATCAATCAAATTCATAATGGGAGTAGAGCAAGCTAAATCTTGAAAAATACAGTATTGACCTATGTCAGCACCATGTCCAACCTTTAAAAAGAAAGGCTAGGTACCACTTTAACCAAATGAAGCTTTCACCTCTTTTAAGCCATCATGCTGATTATTACAGCCGCATGCACTCAGGTAATGATGTGAGATGGACTGAAATTGATCATGAACACAAACTGAAGAGACAGCATTAGTGGTCAGAGTAGCAAAATATACTGTACCACTCAAATTATTCCTCATTCCATGCTATTTTCAAGACGTTTGGTAGTAAAATCTTCTGTGCTATATTTCCTACTGTATTATTAATGTATTCATTATGCTTATGACTTCATTACTTTTTTGTAAATCTTTACTCTCAGCCCACATAATAATCTATGCAGTGTTTTATTAACAAGTACATATGAGCACTTGAGCGCATGTATGAGTGTACTGTCAAAAGGTATTCATGCAATCAACCTTGTAAAATGTTTGTTTGACATGAGGAGTAACCAGATTACTTTTGTAATATTTTTTATTGAACAGTAGTGACTTTAAAAAAACAATATGAAGTACTCTATATTTTTACAACCACAGATTACCTTGATAGTGTGCGACATTTAGAGCACTATATCATACAAAGCCAATAGGAGTTAGAACTGTTACCTCCTTTTCTATGAGTTTTGAGTATTTCATAAATCAACAAGAGAACTCCATTTGGCTGATGTGTATTAATGCTATCCATTCTGTTTCTTTCATACAGGCTTAATGTTTCAGTGACTGCACTCTTGTCACCGTCTGTCTTCTCCATACTAGTATCCATAAGAGTTTAAATGTGACATCTTCTCTCGAACTAATCAACCATTTCTTCTTTCTGAAACTGACTAGCACCCTCAATGATCAATACTGATGTAAAATTAAGGATGCATTTTATGTTTAATGTTTATCTGAGCTTTGTAGTACTCTGAATATATGATATACAATATCTCTCGTAATAATAATCAATGCCTTATTAACATAATTTGTGCAACTCACAAATACATTTCTTCGAAAATGTCAGAGAAGTAGATCTAAAATCAATTTAGGAGTCCAAATATAATACATGAAATACATCAATTATAAAGATTGCTTTCTTGACATTCCTTTCTCTTCTGAAATAATTGTGAATATTATAATTATTTTTATGAAAATGATTATTTATATTGGATGTACTGTAGATAAAGGGTCATAGAAATGTCTTAGCTACCATAAAACATTAATGTTTATCTGAAGAAGTAAATATAAGCATTAGTGTCTATCATAAAACAGTTAAACTTTAATGTTTTGGTTAAAAATGAGAGTTCTGCTTTTTGATCTGGCTTTTGAACTGCAATAGCCCATAAGGATGTACCCCCACTGTAAAACTCTTCAATGACTCCAAAATCTAACCTCGACGCTTTCTAGGGAATGTGATTGAGAAAAGGATCTGAGTCTTGCGCAATCCTGCCATTCTGACACAAACAACTTTAATTTACTAATTTAAACATAGGAAATAATCTTATCATTAGAAGTCCTTCTGAGAATGTAAAAGATCTTTGCAAAGGTGTGTGGAATTCTGTTTAACCATATAGTGTATGTAAAGCTTGGAAGATAAACACAGAGCATGTACTGTATACAATTCTGGTGTTGCAGAGCAAGCATGCTGGAGGCTAAATGCTTAAAAAGCACTCTCTAAGCTCCATCATCCTCAAACATAGAGTTCATTTATGCCAAAATCAGATGGAGACACACCATTTCCCCTTTGCTCTTATGAAGATAAATTAGATGTGGCTGTGCTCCAAAGACTGCAATGTTGTGTAGGTGTGGTATGATGATTTCCTGTAACATTACGTTGATTTACTGCAATTGCAGGTACTCCTTTCAGGATGAGGAAGACATGTTCATGGTGGTCGATTTGCTGTTAGGTGGAGACCTGCGCTATCATTTACAGCAGAATGTCCAGTTTACTGAAGAGGCAGTCAAGCTCTACATCTGTGAAATGACCCTGGCTCTAGATTATCTACAAAGTCAGCACATTATTCACAGGTAATAGTCTGATATTGTATCTCTACCCATATTAGATATCCATAAATTTATAACACTACCAGGAAGAATATTTTCTGCTGTGCGAACCACAGGCTTTACAATTCACAGCTTGATACATGAAGCCACTAGCTGCTAGTGGTTTTACAGTAACCTCTCAGCATCCAATCACATTAATTTGCATTACCTTCTGCTCTTTTGTCTGTGCTACCTTTGAGCTTTATTTTCTGGACTGGGATGTCTTTTCAATGATAATTTTATTAGGAGGTATTGTAACTCTCCGTTTTATACAAATATGTTTTTGATCATTTGTTTTTAAGACATACTGTGCTGTATTTTTATTTTGTGCTTCACGAAATACTAAATATACCTGTACATGTATTCCAGATTTAAAATGGATTCATTGGATTGTCAATGTGAAATTAATGCTGCTCTAAATAGCAAGTATTGTTTTTGTTGGATTATGTATTTTAATGTTCAGTAAGAATTTGACCTTCTTTTTATTTCATAGTCACTTCCCACGTTCTTTTTTTCTGTTAAAAGATAGGAATACATTTTCCATAAAACCTGTCTTTTTTTCTGCTGTCATACTGACTAGAAGTTTCTCTGTAAAAGGAATCTGCTCTTCCCAGAAAACAAAGTAATTCAGTTCTACAACATCTGTAGTACTCCCCTGGTCAGCACTTTTGTTCCGTATTGTGGTTTTTTGACGGGAGAATACCATGCAATTATTTTGTTGCACCAACTTTGATTAAGTGTATCCTAGCAACACAGTCTGTAATACAGCCTGCAGAGCAAAAATTAATACACTTAAAGAATTTTGAAATCCAAACAATGCCATTTCTCTATGTTCTGTCTACGTTCTGAAGAGTCATATAGGAATAATAAAATCATCCCTTTTCTTCTGCCGTGTTTACATTCATCATTGCTTATTGGCTTAAAAGTATGAATTATTGAAGTTCTGTTAATGCAAACCCACTGGTTTTACACTTAATCTTCTGGATGCTGTATTATGAGCCTGCTAACATGACATTTACATTATTTGTTTTTATCTGTAAAATATTTTAACCTTACAAATGTATTCAGACCCTTGCACAGTTTTCACATTTTGTTGGTTTTAATTCTGGCATTCATGACACTTTGAAGTAGGAATTAATATTGTTAAACTGATTGTTTTTGTATCAAAAAACAAAAAAGAAAGAATGGATAATATGAAATAAAAATAGAAAAATCTTTATGGACTATAATATATGCTTGAGAATAATGATAATTTTATGCTATTTGTTATACAATGTACAATGAAATATATTTTCATTTAATGTTTCAAGCAACATCAATTGGCTTTCCTCTGGTTTAAATTCTAGTCTCAAATGCACTAATCTAATTTCACAATTCACATTTACATAATATACTTAAGTGGCAATTTTCAATGTTTTGGAATTTACCACTGAATCTATTAATGAGCCAACATTTGAAGCAGCTTGCAATTTGTAGCACATTTGTTTTGAATGCTGGTTTTCGGGGCTACTGTTAAAGTTAAGAATGAGCTACTATAGGAAAAGGCATGCTGAAGATCAATAGGACAGCAATATAAACAAATCGGTTGGAGAGGGGTTGTGATGTTCTTCTGAGCTGTTATTTGTCATGGACTACTTGGTGGAAAAACACATTATGGTGGGAATTACTTCGAATTACATGTGACCTACAGTATGTGCATTGATAAAACTGTAAACTTTATAGATGCCCTTTTACCTTATTCAATATGTAACTTTGCCATCAAATTTGCCATTGTATTTTAATATATACCACATCAACCACTTAAGCATTTGTTGCCAGATTGGAACTTCTTCAAAGAGTGCCTAGAAAATAAAAATGCATTTGAATGCATCAAAGTCACCTATACATCACTAATGTGCTGTGCTTTTTGGCAGCTGAAAGGGTTTTTGAAATCGATACAATTTAAAGTTGGTTCAAGCCTTGGACATTTAATCCAAAATATATTTTAGTATGTTTTAGTCTCACAAGTTGGTTCCAGCTTTGAGCTCTTACGGTAGGTTTTCTTTATAGTTGTGGTGTGAGAATCTATAAAGCTATGTTGAAGCCAATACACCGGCTTCTTTCAAGAAACATCTGGATGAGACCCTTATATTCATTAACTGATCATTGCCAAAAAAAGCAAAATGGGCTGAATGGCCTTATTTGTAATCTTATGTTCTTAAAGGTGCTAGTATAATAAGGACATACAATATCTGTCTCTAATAAAACCCAACTATAAAAGCAGTCTGAATGATTTTCATGGCACATCAGTTTAATTCACAGCCTTAAGAGTACCTTGCAATTCCTAGAATTATAGTACTGCATAGCTCTGCAATGAGATGCAGTTTGAAAAAGCTCTTCTAGTTAAAATAAAAACATTGTACTTGCACCCTGGTGGTTTAAGTTACTATAGAAAAGGCATATTGCTCATCTACCCTTCCCCTTATGTGTTCAGAATCTAATTGTATACAATTATAAAAACAACTTCAGGTTTTGGCTGAAGAGCTATTTTGGTACTTTCATGACATTTGTGTTTTTTAGAAATAATTCCACACAGAATTGGTTAACTTCACATTTATTCAGTTTAAATAATTCCACAACTGCACTCTTTTTCAAGATAAATGGAGATATTGTCTCCCCTTTTCTGATATGATAGATTGGTTATTCCTTTAAATTAAATGGAATTTGAATCTAAATTCCCCCATTGTATTACTCTGAAAAACATTAACAGAATTAATCAATTCTGGCTTCAAAGACCACTCACTTGCTGTAGTCATTTGCATTCCTTTAATTCTTTTGAAAGGTGTAGATCGAATTTTCAATGTGGCTATTCGTATACAGTATGCTGTTATTAAGAAAATGGGGACGATGAGGTATTTGCTTTTACGTCTGTTAGGTAATTTATCCTTAGGCTAGATTGAGCTACCTGGGTAGAGAGGTTGTTGTATCTTTGTTGAAGCAACTTCACCAAGATTGTTTCAGCTGAATAAATGGGTATAAAAACATATATTAAAAAATAGAAAATTGTAATCTCCATACATGACTGCATAAAAAATCCAAGCAAATTAATAATAGAAATGCGCACCTTTAGGTAAACTGACAGATGCACAGAAGCTGTTGAAATAAAAATCAAAATGCATGGTTTTCAAAAGATTACATTGCAAATAATGCATCTTACTTGTATTCAGTATGACTTAATTGCTCATCTTATTTTCTTTCATAATTTCTTTAATAAATAATGTTATATTTTTGCAATTTTTCTTTCTAATAGGGATATCAAACCTGACAACATCCTACTTGATGAGCAAGGTAAGAGATTGTTTTTGTACAAATTTAAAAAGCAATTACCTTCTTTAAGAGCAAAGATTCTTTCTTAGCCAGAAGAAGTCATTTATAATGGCACAGCACAGGTCTCTAATCTCTTGAGACAGAAAGAAATAGTTCAAGGTGATATACTGTATACTGGATGTACTGTAACTGAGTTAGACCATGTGAGGCTTCTTTCACATTACTGTGCCAATATTCCTCTGACAGGGCCAGAAACTGTTGTAAAAATAGTAAAGGTAATGCTTTAAATACTAAAAGAATAAAATCAAGGACATGCTGGTCCACTTTCATACATTTTATATGTGTGTCCATATTTGTTATTGTATAGTATAATCTAGACAGTAGAGCTTTAGGTCAACCATTTAGGACATGTTGCTATACAGTAATCTTGTGAGAGACACATTCCAATTAAAACACTTCTGCTAAACAAATATCTATCACTTTATCCACATTTTATAATAATGCAGCAAAACTGAGAATTATAGTCCAAAAAATTACAGTTTCATTTTATTTTGTACTGTCATTAGTATGTCTTTTCTGTGTTCAGGAAAGAAGGGTGAACCAAGTCAACAATTCAATGTATTAAACACAGAGTGTGTGTTTTTGCACAAATGAAATCCACCGATGGGTTGGCAAAGTTCAGTAGGCAGATCATAGCTTTGATTTAGCATTAAACATATTTTAAATACTGAGATTTGAATGTAAATTATAATATGCCAACCATATTGTGTCAGACCCCACCCTTAAACAAAGTGACTCATGGAAACACTCACAACCGTGATACTGGACAGTGCAGGCAGGCTGAATTGCAGCACTTAAACAGGCCTTTCAAACAACAAGACACTGTAGGAGCCTACACAGACTGCTACCAAAACAAGACCAACAGTTATCACCATGAGGCCCTTTATATCCCTAAACATATTAGCCACAAAAGACAATGTGTAACCACCAACCACAATCTGATTAATTACCACCCAGTGTGTCTATTTACAAATGATATGGATATTTCATGGCACATGAGCTATTACAGTTGTAGTGGTTTGATGGGTTTACCGAGACAATTATTAATTGTAGCAGTAATCACAAGGTTGTTCATTGGGGCTTTTAGAAAATCAATCGTTAGAACAACTAACAACGCACACACACGGGTTCAATACACGGGATACTTTATTAATATAAACTGTGCACCAAACATATACTAGTCTGCCTGGATACGAGCGGCAGACCTTACTGTGAGGGTTATCAATATACAAGGTATATAATCTCGAAGAGACAAAGAGATACACAACCGAGAATATATGTCAATATATATCGTTCGGTTACCAAATCGCTAATCAGTGTTATTACCCACTGTTACTCTAAACTCGGAAGTAAATACATTACTCATGAATTAAATTGATAACAACTTGTGTTTAGGTAAAATTGAATTCTCGAGACGCAATGTAGAACATGGGGTTTACTTATCCACTGTGTATGGATTTGGAATTTCCCGGCACGAACACCAAACCAGCTGACAGGCTCTGTTGCAGCCTCTGTTCCAGCGGTTGTCCAATGGGCGTTGTCCCAGCGTCCTCTGGCAACCAGTCAAGGTGCAGCTCGGAGTAGGACGGGCGGAGGAATCTGACTGCGGCGCGCAGGGCCATTCGTTGCTCCGAGGGGATCTACCAGCAGTCCGGCTGGCTAGTAGAAAGTCTCTATGCACAGAGTGTGACCGCGAGTCCTCACAAGTCACTCTTTTGCCTGGGAAGAAGCTGGTTCGTTCCCGGTCCAGCGCTGCTTCTGATTAAGCTATTCAGGTTGTCGACGAGGGTCCAACTGTAGGCTGCCGTTGATCAAGCGGAGCATTCACTTTGGTAGAATTCTGAGTACGTACGGGATCCTCGGCCTTGCGCTTAGAACAAAGTCCAAGTCCCTTTGCAGACAACAGCAGTTGTCACGTGATTGTCTCTGAGGATGCGCGAAAATGGCCAAGGAGAGCCCCGATCTGAGCTTGCGCTCCCTTTTTGACCAAGACACAGATGTGTGCTGATTGGTTGAGAGTTTGGCGGGCATTGGAGACCCACGTGGTATTACCACGCCCTGCCAGTCCCTGATTGGTTGGTCAAGGTGAGATATAAGTCACTTATTCTTGACACTTAAGAATGCAGTCCAGATGTCCATTCGGCACTCCCTAGACAGATAGGCGCCAATGGATGACCATTGATCATGATAGCCAGGCTTAGCTAAGTGCATCCCCGTCTCGGAGCTGTTCCTTATCAAAAGAAAACATCTTAAATCAGCCTGCATGAATACTTTCTCTGTGGCTGCACAACAGAGATGGAGGGTGAGATGGGGCCTCATTTAGGACCGCATACCAACGCTTAATTCTGTGTTATTAACAAGCATTGCCGCTACACAGTCCATTCCAAGACAGGCATGCCACACATAAAGTACATCTTAAGATGCAAAATTAGACTGTTGTTTTGGCACCTACTTACATAATATTTCGTAAAGCAGCATGTTTGTTTAATTTGACTTTGTTTTTACAGGACATGCACACCTCACTGATTTTAACATAGCAACAATAATTAAAGATGGAGAAAGAGCAACTGCTTTAGCTGGAACAAAGCCATATATGGGTAAGTAACCCCCGCTGTTTCCATTTCCTATCGTGTGTTATTATGTATTAAACTGCAATGAATTTTAAAAGCAGTAAACAGTTTCCTAATAATTCCCATATAATACTTGATTCAAAGCAAAAATAATAGAATAGAGCTAAAGAAAGACTGGAAATAATGGTCAATTTAGTTGAAAAAGAAAGTATTTTCCGTGTCAGTGATGTGAAGATAATCATCTGTTTTACTTTACATAAATAAAGCTTTCTTTGTTTCTGATTTTCTCAAGTGGCTTGAGAACTTGTACACAAAATGTTCCCACATGCAATCTGTTTATGGAAAAGCGAGAGTTGTGACCAGTGTTGCAACTCTTTGGAACATTGACATTATATTTCATTTTGTTTTTGGAACAGCACCAGAAATATTTCATTCCTTTGTGAATGGGGGAACTGGCTATGCCTTTGAAGTGGACTGGTGGTCCCTGGGAGTGACAACCTATGAAGTTCTCCGTGGATGGGTAGAGTGTCTGGTCAAAAGAGAGACTTGGCTGCCTGTGATTGTGGTGATGTACTTTGATGACAGGAGAGGCAAGCTGATCTGTCTGAAATTATTGACTTGTTTTTCATGTTTTTCCTTTTAGAGACCATATGATATCCATTCCAGTAACACAGTGGAGTCATTGCTGCAGTTATTCAGCACTGTCAGTGTGCAGTACTCCTCTGCTTGGTCAAAAGACTTGGTGTCTCTACTTAGGAAGGTGAGAGAAATGGATGGGCTTCCATGTATTTACTGTATTAGTATTGTTAGTGACAATAACAAGCTACCACATTGCATTTGGACATTACTCATGTAATTGTGGAGAAATACATTTGAAAACAATACAATTAAACAGTTTACATAGGTATAATGACATTTCCATTTTCAAATTCCCCATTCATTTGAATTGGGTTTACACTGGTTGTTAATGGCCTTGTTTATACCCTTGCTGTAATGTTTTCTGTCTTTTTTATTGTAATGAGATTTTGCTATGCCCTCAACCTTGAATTCTTGTAAAGATCAATGAGGCATTTTTGGCATATCTGGCACCACACAAAGCCAAAACAGAAGATTCAGTCTGTATCAGAGACATAGTGTTACTCCACGCCCCCCGAGGAATCGGCATTCCACCTCACATTCCAGCACAGTTCCCAATTAGCCCTTTTCCCCAGCCTATTTAATGCTGCCTCACACTCTTCCCAGTGCTCAGTAGTAGGGTTTTCCTGGCTAGAGCTACTCCCAGTCTCATTGTTATTCACTACTTGGTTTTTGCGTCCTGACCCTGGTTTGTTCTCCGTCTACGTCTCCTAGTTTCGGTTTTGGTACTTTTGTCTGGTTTTGACTCTCGGCTCACTTATGGATTACGGCTCCGCCTCTGGTTATTTGTACTTTAGCACCGGCTAGTTTACCTTCGGCTTTCTGGCCTCGGATTGTTCTTTCGACTACGCCTTTTGGAGTTTGCCCTAGTTTTCTGCATAGGGTCCTCAATGCTAATTCCTGACACATAGTTGTCTGGATGACAACAATGAGACCACAGATTACCTCCTTTGGTAGCTATTGGAATTAAAAGGTAAAAAAAAAACTTTTAGTCTAAAGTATGTTCCACATATTCAGTTTGAAATAAATAGTTTTTCAGAATTTCCACTCTCAAACATAATTGGAGTATCTGATAATGGTCAAAAAGTCTAACACAAATTACAATGCAATAACTTTATTCGTGATGTCTTTTTTTTAAAGGTTTAGTGCATATGAATATCATTCCTTTTAATACCTGATTATTATATAGAACTGATACTTGCAATACTTGATACATTTAATGTTTTACAATACATTTATGAAACATTATTTATTTTCTGTTTTTTGTATTCTGCAGAAAGATGATATAAGTTTTTACATTTATAATCCCTCAGAGTAGATTTGTTTCATTTCCATATTATCCTAGGCTTGGATGACTGTGTCTTTCAGAGGCCCAGATGAAAACATTTTCCTTGTGTTAGTTAAACATTTTAAAAATAATTCCCTGCTGAATGAATGCTCTAGAAATGTCTGGTACTGCAGGCTGAATTCAGGTTGTGGTCAAGGAAATAGTACTATATTTTAAGTGTATAATTAATTTTATTTCCAATTATTACAATCGGTATTGATTTATCAAATTATTTACTTATATAAAATAATTTATTTTAGTTCATTTCTGTTTTCTGATTCTAGCAAAAGCAAAGATTTTGGCTGATGAGAGCCCTCTAATGGACATTTAGCAAAGAAGCTAAGAAACTCAGGGCAGAATGTGAAAAAGTGTGAGGGGATAGTGTTTTCTCTACTCTTGTATGAGAGCAAGAGCAAGTATAGGGAAATAAAAGACATTTGCATATCTGTAATTTTACTGTTTCAGTGACAGATCATTGTCAGTTACGAATATCAAATATATTCAGAAAGCAACAAGAAAAATATGATAAAAATATTATTAGATTATTAAATTCTTTATGAAATTCTTACTGTATAACAATTTCATAAAATAACAGCTTAAAATGTTCAAATGGTTTGGGACTTATGTTTAACTTGTTTTTAAATTCCAAACACTAAAAAAGAAAAGACTCTATGAAAATGGTAATAGTTCTCCACACTTGTTTGTCATTTTCATAGTTATGTTGTGGTTTTCGTATTTTTGTGGTTCATATTTTTTGTTTCTTGAGAGTAGTTCCTGATTGCCTGCCCAGTTTCTATGGCCATAGTATTTCAATATACACCACATTTCTCTCAGTACTATTTCTAATATTAAAGCCCTTTTAGTATTAAAAAAAGAAAGCTTTACTGTCTTAAATCTATATCTCTGATGAAGAATTATGCTATATTCAAAGTAAATATGGAGACTTGTTATTAAACAGGTTTATTTGTGGAAATCGGTCTCTTCTGTATCATAATTTAGCACTGATATGATAAAACTTGTAAACTGCTTAATTCTGGAATGCTAATAATAATAATTAATATAAGTAATTGCTTACACTTACTGTATATAGCACTTTTCTGGACACTCCACTCCCCTCCACCACTACCAATGTGCAGCCCCACCTGGATGATGCGACAGCACTCATCAGCTATCAGTGGGGAGGAGAGCAGAGTAATGAAGCCAGTTCGTAGATTGGGATTATTAGGAGGCCATGATTGGTAAGGGCCAATGGGAAATTTGGCCAGGACGCCAGGGTTACACCCCTACACTTTTCAAGAAATGTCCTGGGATTTTAAATGACCACAGAGAGTCAGGACCTCAGTTTTTAGTGTCCCCGTCACTATACTGGGGCATTAGGACCCACATGGACCGCAGGGTGAGCACCCCCTGCTGGCCCCAATAACACCTCTTTTAACAGCAACCTTAATTTGTCCCAGGAGATCTCCCATCCAGGTACTGACCAGGTTCACACCTTCTTAGCTTCAGTGGGTGGCCAGTTTTGAGTTGCAGAGTGATATGGCTGCTGGCTGTATACTGTATATATCATAATATATCATGAATATCCTTTTTAAAAATATTTTAGTATTTATTGCATGGTGCTTACCTTTTGCCTGCTTCTTGCCCTTTATTGAATCCTCAAGAAATAAAATATGCATTAAGAAAGTACTGCATTTGTATTTTGCAGCTACTGACTGTTAATCCTGAGCATCGCTTCTGCGGCCTTACGGATATGCAGACCTCGCCATACTTATCTGATGTAAATTGGGATGCTGTCTATGAAAAGAAAGTTGAGCCTGGATTTGTTCCAAATGTAAGCACACTTTACTATCAAACACTAATAGGCACCAGATGAAATGTTCATTGCTCTGCAGTAGCTTCTAGTAGTTCCTCTACCAAGATCTATGACTGACTGTATGGTTTTTGACACATTACTCTTACAGACTACAGCAGAATTCTGCTTCAGAGCCAGTTAGCAATCAAGTGTGTCCTGTTTTTACAGAAAGGCCGTCTGCATTGCGACCCCACTTTTGAGCTGGAGGAGATGATCCTGGAGTCGAGACCTCTTCACAAGAAGAAAAAGAGATTGGCAAAGAACAAATCAAGAGACAACAGCAAAGACTCCCAGTCAGTAAGTAGACAGATGTTCATTTTTGATCTCTTTCAATTGTTCTTTTTTTTCCGGTTTTCACATGGGTCTGTGTAAGATTGAGGATGAACAACAAAAAAAGTGGTTATTGAGAAGCAATGGCTTTCTCAGAATAAACTTTTATTTAAAAGAGGTTTGCATGTTGCAGGTGTGATTTACATTAATCACACAATGCTACTGTATATTCATCAGCATGGGTTGTGATTATCTATGTGTGTTAACATACTGTATTCAAATGATCCAACAAATGGATGGTCAGATCTATTCTGGCCAACTTCTGCACTCTAACATAAATATATATATATATCACTTCCTGAACTTCTCCTTGCACATCTCTCTCAGACAAGTCCCACCATCCCGTCTTCACCCTTGGAGCAGCTCCTTAGTTCATTCCCTGAGAAAGTGAGGGTGGGTCCAGTCAGCCTCATGCTTTCAGTTATTCTGTCTTTCCCTCTCCTAGGCGAGCTACATCAAACAACCACTAATATATTTTGTCTATATCACTATATACATTATGTCTTTGTAACTCCTTACCTGTGCTGAAATATGTATGCATTGTTATTACAGGAAAATGATTATCTTCAGGAGTGCCTTGAGGCTGTCCAACAAGAATTCATGATCTTCAATAGAGAAAAGTAAGTACAGTACACAAACAATAATAAGACTCCTGGCTAACCATGCATTCCTACAGTGATTATTGAAAATAATGATTAAATCAGTATAATGTATGTAAGGGTTGCTTTAACAGAAGTGTTTTTTTACATTGCAAGCCACAGTGCAAGCATTTATTTTTTCTTCCATTACTTTACTTTGTAATTTCTGTTTTTTGTGTACAATATAAATATCTTAGAAAGACAATTTTTATTGGAGACTAAAATTGCACTCTATAAGTGTGAATATTGGTGTATCAGAGTTACACTACATCACAATTGTCAACTAATACATTATTAAGGAACATCTGAATCTGAAATTTAGAAAACCTCCCAGATGAGAACTAATATTTTATGGCTTTTTGTGCCACTTTACTGCTATGTATCTCCATTAACACTTCTTAGTATATTTTAATTAATATTATTCTTTAATCCGTTTAACTAACATGTATGTTTCATAGATTGTTTTTTGCATTTTTTTTTCTTTAATAAAAATGCATTTGAGGTTCTAGTGCTTGATATGAAGCCTGACACACATTCACAGATGACCTCTTATGCTACCTATTGGAATTATTCATGATTTTTATTTATTTATTCAATATTTATTTAGGATTAAGGTAATAGACCTATAACCCTAAAATCCAAAAATATGTAGAAGACAAAAAGGCAGGCAAATACTATATGACCTTTTCATTATGAAAACACTGAACGCGATCTTCACAATGCCTTCAAGAACACTCTTCTTTAATTTGAGGTCAGTGCAGTGTGTTTCATCCTCACATGACAAAATAGTTCATTCATTTCTGTAGCTGAAATTAATTCTTCTGCTAGTCGAGGAATGATCCAGAAATGGCACACTCCTGCTATTGTACCGTCAATAGACTGTACTGTCAATAGATGCCTTTTAATTTAACAAAGCACCTGAGATTGGTCATGGTCTCCATCAGTAAGAGCCTGTAATAATGAAATACCTAGCATTCAATACTCCTCAGTTTCCAGCTCTTTGTCATTGATATGAACAACTTAATCACTTAAACTTTTGACACAGTGGGCGTTTTATCCCTTTTTGCCCTTAAATCAGATTGAAAAAACGACAAGATGAAACGGGTCCCTCAGAAACACAGGCAGAGGCAGAGGCTGAGGTCGAGGGAGAAGCTGAAGGTGGCACTGAGGACGAAACTGAAGCAGAGACATCTAACTTGAACATGTGCAGCTCGGTTTGCTCCTCCACAGGCAGCTGCTAGCATCCAGGGTACCAACATTCTGGGCTCTCTTTCTCTTCTGCTCAACGACTCTCAGGCTACCCTTACAAATAATGGCCTTGCCTATAATCGTTTCTGGCTCTGTTTGTAGCTACTACTGAAATTATACAGCACACTTCCTTTATCCTTCTTTTGTAGCAACAAACAGTAGGATTTGAAGTTAGGCCTACTTTTGTGGATTGCTTAAAGATACTGTATTACCCTCCATATGCTAGACTAGACTATATTTTCTATGCAACATCGAGCATGACTTATGATATAATATGGGATAAGATACAAATGTTTGCCCAGAACTACACAGGCAAAGAAGACAGTATGAAAATCTTCAGATCTAGAAGTGCAACCACCGGTTTATCTTAGCAGGTTTGTAAAAAGAAAAATGTAGTCATGTCTTCATATTTTTGTTTTAATGTCAGTCCTTAACTGTAGAATGTCTACACTCTATCTTTCTGTTATTTAGTTGAAACTCCTTTGTTACATTTTTCATCTACCTTCAAAAATATAATTACAGTACATATAATGATATTTTTCCTATAAATGATGACAAGTGGACAAACTATGGTTGCTTCCTTACTTTTTATTCCAAGAGTGAACCAAGAGGGTTCTATCTTAATTTTAGATTTCATCATCAAGATAAATGTGGTTCTCTTTATAGTGGATCAAAAAATTTCACTTAAGAAATTAGTAAAATGTCCTTTGAGGTTTCTAAATTACATTCTTTAATAAAACATAAATATTCATAATGCTTTAGATATTTTTAAACTCTGAATGTTTAATATCTCATTTCTTTGTCTGTTTTCCACTAACAGATACCTTTTAAGATACTCAAATTTATAATCTAATCATGTATTTTAATGATTACATTTTACCAGGCATAAACTAACTACAACATATTAGAATATTGTATAATTTATAGATAATATTATTCTGATTAATGATAGTTTAGTTTAAGCTGCCACAACAGGTTTGCTTGTTACCAAATTTTGTCAGTTGCCAAGATGTGCTTAGCTGCTACAACACACTGCTGTTCACGATATGAAACTGGATTGTATTTATCCTTGTGTCTAATGTTATGGTTAATATACTGTTCTGCTTGAGTGCATCTAGAATATTTTTCCAGCTGTTTACAATGGGCACTTAAAACTTTTTAGGTAAAAAGAACTGAACATGGAGACTGTAATTATTGTCAGTTTGGAATAGACCTTACCCTTTGAAATAGCAATGGGTTAATATTTACTGTTATAGTTTTGCTAGATAAAGAATTGCAACACCAAAAAATCAGTGGTGAATTGATTTGTAGTCTAAACTAGTTTCCAGAAAGCTGAGGTGGTGTGACTTGCATTTTCCGGAAGCCTACAGCATCACCTACCTTTGTCCTTTGTCTTTTTAAATGGACACTTGAGACATGTTCATCATATGGTGCCATTATCATGTTTAGGAAAATATAAATTCCTTCTTTTCTCAAAAGCTGCCCAGTGAAATATCAGCAACAGTAAAAGAGACTAGTTATCCTTTCTTTCTAAATTCTATTTTAATGAGTGAAAATTAAAGGGTTGAACTACAAATCATAATGAGATTATATGTAAATAGCAGCAGCATAATTTTTATCCACAGTTTTATGTGGAAAACTCGGTATGTTAAAGGAAATTAAGAAGTATGAAGTCAAATTTTCATACAGTATTGTTTTGAACCTTTTTCAAGTGTGCAGGCACAACTTGTAGGCAAATACGCCAAAGCTTTTATACCATTTACATAGCCATTTTTAAGGAAATCAAGTATATGTGTCTTGTTAGCAGCATAGGAGCAATGTTTGTTTTTGCAAGTGAGCACATTTGCATTTTGTAAACATTCATATATTCAGATAACCTAGAAAATACAGGAGATAACTTTTAAGACACAGACACATTTACAATAAAAAATAGAGTATTGAGAAGGTACTTGTTTATAGAAAATATTTCAGGAAGAGTGACATTAAAAGAATGCTGGAAGGATGGATATTTACTTCAAGAAACTGCTACTAAAATCCGTGCATAAATAAAATGTTACTTCAAATTCCAATTTGCATGCAGCACCAACATATACTATCAATGGGTACTGTAACATTATGTTGCTAGAGGGTCAAACCCATTCTAGCCACTGGTAACAGGGCAAAAGCAACTACATTGTGAGTGTATGAGCTGAGACTGTTACATATTAGATTATTACACAAGGGCTTAGTTTAGGCTCTGTCACAACTGATTTTTCCATCTATCAAAACTCAGCTAGGTTTGTACACAATATAAATATTGACTTACAACATATAGTTTTTTAATTGTTTCCCATTTTTGTGTTTATTTAATAGCATGGGACATAGATATGCAGATATTTTTGCATCCTGTATTTAGTCTGTTCCAGATAAATAGTACTGAGAGCAAGTCTTAAATTCTGACTAAACAGTTAACTGGAAAATTGCTGAGAATTTAGCAAAGCAAGAAACATATACTGTATGTACTTCACTGTTATTCTGTGAGTATATTTACTGTATGTAACCTTTAATGCATGACTGATCTGTATTGGGATGAAAAAGGGATTGGTTGTTGCAATGTTAACAAATCTGGAAGACGTTTAATTTATGTAGCAAATGAATGTGAGTTTTTTAATACTTAAACATATTATAGAAGTTTATATATACATAATGCTTACCTGCGTTAATGATAAAATAAACTAGTTCTTGTAACCAGTGTACTCTTGCATTTATTCTTTTTAAAGAGGGAATGTACAGTATGGTTTTGGGTGGTGTGGTGGTTTGCGCCTTGTAGCTCTGGGATCCTGAGTTTAAATCAGGACCGGGGCTCTCCTTGTATGGTGTGTTGCATGTTTTCCCTGTTTCCATGTGGGTTTTTTCTGTGTGCTCTGTTTTCTTTTCCAAAGACATTTTGGCTAGGTTACCTGTTATCATATCCCTTTCAGGACATATCATTTCAAGGCACTTAAAATAAAACAAGATACAGTTTAAAATGATATACACAAAATAATATAATAATGTAAACATAATTAAATAGTATTGTATAAAAGCAAGATTGAAAAGTCCTGACTTATGTACACAATTTAATATATGAGATAATTCTACACCCTTAGTGCAACAATACCTTTGGATTTGGAGCCTTTTGGGAACTGAAAGAAGGACAGTATCTAAAAAGTTAGAATAAGGTGTAGGTGTGTAGGGATTTTACAGTTTATTAATGATGTAATGAGATAAACTATTCACACCCCAAAAGGCAAGCAGCAGTATTTTGAATTTTATTCTGAAATCTACAGGAAGCCAGTGCAAGGAAGCTGAAACAGTTGAAATTGTCGTGTATTTTTGTTTCAACTAAGATTCAGGCCACTGAGTTCTGAAGATGCTGCAACAAAGACAAAAGAATGCATTAGCTGTCATCAAAGATGACACCATGAATCCTGACATGAGTGTTTGGACAGACTCCAAGAAATAATTTAAACTGAAGTTGAAAAACCTACTAAGTTAATAAGGAAAGAAAATATATGCTGCATTCAGTTTTAACATCATATAAACAGTGTGACATGGCAGATAGTGCTTGATTAATGTCACATTTTGTGTCAAAATAAATTATGTCACCAGCATAAAGTTAAATTATGCAATTCCAGTGAATAATCTGACCTACTAGTAACCTATAGATTCAAAAAAGAACAGGACAAAGAACTGAGCCCTGTGTGCCAGATGTGATAATATTTGTTGAGGAGCATTAATACCAATAGAGGTTAGTTAGTTAATTAATTAATTAATTTGAACTAATTAATTTCTATAAATTGGATAAAACTTAAACTATGACAATGTAATTCTAGTTATTTGAACCTTCCCTAATCTCTTCAGCAAAATGGTATAATAAACAGTATCAAAGGCAGCAATGAAATTCATTAAGAAAAGAACAAATAAAAACAATCAGCAGTATTTGTGTGAGATTGTGTGTTCTTAAATATACAGTATACAGTAACTATATATTATTGGGTTTGTGCTATCTTAACAATTGGCTGACCCCTGTTAAGGCTGTAGTCCCACATTTTGTCTTGTGCTGCTAGATTAGGCTCTGAATTGCTGTGACCCTTATCAGAAATAAATGGCCATCTAATAATGGATTGATGTAGGGTTCCAAAACTGATATCTGTTGTTTGTGTACTATTGAAGCACTTAAGCTTTTTACATTACATCTCAATGAGACAGTAATGGCACCTTTCTGACAAAGGAACTACTACAGGACAAAGGAAGTGGATACAAAGTGTCAGAGCATATAGGCTCTTGATCCTTATTGTCATAGCTACACAGCTGTCTTTAGAAAAAGAATAAGGCTTTCACCTAGAGTAGTTACAAGCCTTCAATTTAACTATTAACACAAATTGTGACAAATTATAGGTAGATCTAAAAGGCTGAAGGAACTTCAGACATCTTTGGAATTGGTGAATTTTCACTGAAATAATAAATGTGCTTTATCAATGAATCCTGGCTAATGGTGAGCATTGATTAATCTGTGTAGCTAACATTGCTTATCCTTCCATAATGATCCTTGAATGCATGGGCTGTAACTTCAGACAGGCACCTTATGGTGGGGATAATCACTTTTGTTTATTCTCATTTTATATTGAAAAATCTACTTAACTTTTTCATAAAATGTACCGCAAGGTAACATCTTCAAGCACATAAACCCAGATTACAGTATTAGCATTTTTATTGCACATTATAACTCTATTTTGGGCACCATTCAAAACAAAACAGAAGATGAGACTTATTGTTCATAGGGTTTCATTAAAGTGTCAGTTTGCTTTTATCTCTTCTCAGGGAATACAGCTGTAAAAAAAGACTTACCGTATAACAATGAGATGTCCCCTGGCTCCTTGTTAGTGAATTTGCAATGCTTTTTGAACAAATTGATTTGCATCTGCACTATCACAATGGAGTGAATTATATTTTGGCTTGCATGGGCCTTATTTAAGTAACTCTTGTTTTAGTCACCAAAATTTCGAATGCATTTTGGGGCATAGTACAATTACTGAAGAGTTACAAGAAAGCATCAGCAATCAAAGGTTTCTAAAATAAAACTGTCGAACAGTTTAAAGCCAGAGAACATTAGGATTATGCTGATCCTTGGAAAGACAGTGAGATATGTTCAGCATTGGTATATTTCATTTTAAAGTGGTTCATCTCATCTTTGAACCAGCAGCTATAGTTGACCTAGTATTTCAACAACAAGAAGTGGAAGATATTGTCATACTAATATAATTTTACTGTCCTGTTATATTTGTCTAATCAATGCCTTTAGTCCTTGTCATTTATTCTCTCCAATTCACACTACATTAAATAAGACTTGGTACCGACAGTGTTGAACCGTGCATGGAATTAGTCTAAAAATATGGACAGGGTATGGATTTGTCCTTACATTTCAAGATTGAGAAGACAGCTTTGGAAAAGCAGTGTTGTATAAACAGAAATGTTACATACAGTATAACTGGATATGCAGAATTTTTACTTGTCAGAGATTTCTTGAGTCTTCTCAGTAAAATTTGAATTTCAGGCTCTGGGTTTTTCATTATTTGGCTTGATTTAATCTGGTATTCTCAATATTCCATTTAAAATTCTTATATTTTTCACTAGGAATAACAACACCCATAAAAGGGTCCTGAAAGGATTATGGAGTGTTTAGTGAAATTTGGTTGAAGGCTAACCTCCTGGCCACAGGATGAGGAGGTTTTGACCCCCATGCAGAGTGAGGAGTGACCAAGGAGCAGCTGCAAAGGTGGGATACAACAGACCTACGAAAGAGAGAGAAAGGGATCACATACGGTATTTATAGTGTTTTGGTAGGGTAAATGACATCAGGATTGCTACAGTATTTACTGACAGCCAAGTCTGATTGAACTTTGTTGTTGTCATCCCTCCTGAACTTTCATTACTAACTCCATTAAATGTACTGAGGAACCAAATGAAGAACATGAAACATGTTGGGTCCATGTTTGCTTGATTTCCTTACCTCTTTGTACTTGATTCTTTTGGGTCCTTAGGGAAATGTGTTACTGATTTTTATTGTGGCTGTTGTCTAATCTGTTTTTTTCCTCAGGTACAAGACCATCAGTTGCATTTTTTACTGTGCTGGAAAGTCACTTTTTTCACAAATTTAAAACCTTGCCTTTTCAAACAGGCTAGCTTTTAAAGTACCTCTGAGATTATTGAACATGGTCAGTGTTGCATCATAGCTGCCACCCCCAGAGGGCATGATTAGTTCCAGTCAGACTCAATCTTATTTGTAGCTTACAAACTATTTTTTGCAGCCTTGTGAAATATTTTACACATCTGCAGTACTGTATGTTTCACCAAGTGACACTGATAAAATCTTTAATTGATCCTCCATTTTTAGTTTCTCAGTTCCACAACAGCTATGCAGTAATAAACACAATGTTATCTCTTGCATGTCATTCTCATTGTCTCACTAAATATTCTGGATCATGATCTGAGTGATGTAACATCTTTAATACTTTAATTTTGCTTTAATAATAAAACACTCTGGAGCATTTTCTAAAAAAACATGTTACCCTGATGGGCTATTTTCTGTTAGTTATAACTATTGATTTCCCAGGTAAGGTCCATCAAAATCCAAATGCAGAAAAAACACTGACAAAACTCTGGTTGATACATTTTTGCTCAATATTGAAAAGAAGCTTTTATTAAATCTGTTGTTTTCCTTTGTTTATATAAAGCTAAGTACTATATGGTGACATGGCCACTCGGTTCACAGGTCTCAGATCCTGGCTTTGATTCCAGACTGTTACACCTTATGTCCAGACCTTGCAGTTTCTCCCTATGTCTGTCTAGGATGTTTTGCTGTGGTTAACTTCCACACTTCAGAGATATGCTGTCCAGATTATCATTGCTACTTTGCCGGACCTGGGGTGTTATCTGCGTAGGGTTTGTATGTGTTGGGTATTGCAGTTTCCTGCCACAGTCCAAATACATAATTGGCTTCTCAGAAAAATGCCCCAGTGTGATCTTGTGCATGTCTATGTGTGCCTTGCAATGGCCTTACCCTGCCTTGTGCCTTTTGCCTGCTGGAATAGGCCCTAGCTCTCTTGCAACCTTGTATTAGAAGAAGTGGTTAGAAAATGTATGGATTAATTATTTTGTGTCTCAAAATTGCTCCCCTGCTTGCAGGTTTGTCCTGTGATGGGATGGTGTTCCATGAAGGGAATGGTCCATTCTTGTGCTGTTTTAGTGCTAAGGTCTGTGTTGTTCCAATCAGCAACTTGCTGATAATAAATTCTAAATTACATTTTGTACAAAAACGTTGTATTTCAAATGAACATTTTGCTTAGATCATTAGCTAAGAAGATATTTTATATTTCTAATTTTAATATAAACAATATAATTAATTTAAAACAGTAAAAATGCTATTTATTTTTTACTATTGTCCTTGCTTACAACATCAACAAAATTATTTATGCTACTATAAGCAAAGGATATAAAACATTTTATAATCACATAACAGATACTAATCATGCATAAAATGCATGTTGTATAGAGGTCATGTGCCATTAGATGGTGACATTTGCACATTAACACCACAGTTATTCAGCTCAATAATCAAAAAAGCCACAAGGTGGTGCACATTTATTATCGGTCAATGCCCAGTGATGTGCTCTTAAGAGACAAGGTTTTAAATGGAAAAATAAACTGTTTCTTATGCTTTTTAAGGACAGCTGTCATAGAATTACATGATAGTTATATATTATGCATATTTATAAAATATTGAGAACAATTTTAAGTATATGCAGTGAACAAATCCTGAACGCGATTTAGTGCAATTGATTACATTACACTAATAATCATCATTATAACAAATGCATGTACAGTATGTGCATCACACCAAATGGGAGAAAAGGAATGGAGCAACGCATTCCCAGTCCCTTCTTAACAGGTTTTTATGTCTCATGTACAGTATGAGCACATTTGTGCCTGCACTCATCTTTCTAAGCATTCTTCCTCTGCTTACATTAATTCTGGTAGCACCCTGACAGATATGGAAATGGTCAGACTAGAAGTTTATGCAAATGTTACATTTTTGTACAAATTAAATTAAATCGACTTATCCTTTACAGTTTCAGTTTGCTTTTGTCACAACTTTCTTATACATTATATACTGTATTATAAATATAGGAAATATTTCCTAACTCCATATGATAATGTTGAAATAATATCCTTAAGGCCTTGCTAACCAGTATGAATAATATTTTGCCATAATTGTGTCTATGCTTTTTCCTAATTTCCTATGTTGTTCAGTTTGTAGTAGTGTTGCATATTGTCCAGACAGGATACTTTTATGAAGATATCATGACATCTTGAAATGGCTTCAAGACTTAACATTAAAATACACTTCTCTTATTAATGTCAAATAGTCCATGATGGTGCAAATAAATCCCAATACAGTAATGCTGGTTATTCAGCTTCTGGCAAAATCATACAGCAGCTTTGATTAGACTAATAACTACATAGAAAACCTTTCAAAAAATAAATATGGTTGTTCCATTTATACAAAAATACTTGTTCTAAACACTCAAATTAATTGACCAGCCAATAAAATGCTGCATTTCTCAAATTCTCAGGCCTTATCCAACATCAGACATTTAAACCATGTGCAGTTACTGTTTTTCTTGCTTCTGTAATTTGTAACTACAAATTGGCAGCAGTACGACGCTAATCATTCAAGGACATTTATTTCACAAACCTTATTCAAGACAAAACAACGTTTATTTTAACATGCATATTTTGAGTCCATTACTGATAGACAGAAAGACAAGAAAGGTAAGAAGAGACCAATGGGTAGGACACATTTCCTTTGAATGAGCACAGCTAACTGTGGATTACAGTTCAAGAAAAACTAACTGAAACATAAAGCATTGTTTTAGGAAAAAAATAATAACAGAAAATTCAAGTATTTTGGTTTTACAAATTCTCATTTTAGTATGAAGATAAAAAGTACAAACAGCAGGTTTACAAAGGTAGAAGAACAATATAACATGGACAATTGAAAATTTAAATCAGGTTTAAAAAGTGACTTTCAAAACCATTTTCCAGCACATGACAGCATTACATTGCCATGCTTTACAGTATATGGTTTTACAGCACCAGCTTAAAAAGGTTTTTCATCTTTAAAAAAATACAAAAATATTAAATCCACACTACGAAGGGGAATGAATATGGAAATGAGTACTGAAACACAGTGAAAAGCAACTGAAGTCTAGGAGTCCAAGAGATCCCAGTGACACATGAACAATACTTCCAGTGGAAGTAAGATTTTAGAAACAAGTGAGCACAGGAGCTCCTAGGTTTAATACTTTGTTTTCCTTGTTAGGATTTCAACCGTGTTGCTATAGGAAATACACAAACATGATGGAAGCCCTCTCAAAATCTATCCTAAAAGTTTCAGAAATTTCTTTAATATGTACCAAGAAAACACCAAATTAAGACCAAAGTTTTAAATCCAGATCCAATCATGCCAACATAATGGCAGGTAACAAATACAGAATAATAGCATCATATTAAGAGGAACACTAAATTGATTTTCAAATGATAACACTGAAACTGACCTTCATTTAATTACACCTTCGCTCAAAAAGAAGCAGAGTGTATTTATGGTTGTAGCATTTACAACTACAGTATAATGAAGCACAGAAACTAATTCATAAATTCAAAATGAAGTCTGATTATGTCTCTGAGGAATAGCAAAGCTAAGTTAGTCTTCATCAGACTATGAATGATCTGTTCTATGTGCATGCTGTGGATATCCAAATGAGAAAATGCATTTTTCAGGAGTAAAACATTATCCACACACAATTTAGGAATACACTGTACAGTATATGTCAACATAAAATGTTTTGCTATAAGTATTGGCAGTTTGTATGATAGCATCATGGAGCAACAGAGCAGTGGGTAACTCCTTTTTGCTGTTCCAACACAATATTATTGGCAGTGTGTATCAATAACACTTTTAATCCATTTTAATCCAAGTGCAAAAGGCATGCATGAAAAGAAAGATCATGAAAGTGACGTTATATTAGATCGGCCACCAGGGGGAGCAACAATCCTCTGCGCAGTGCGCCTAGGAATATCGTCGTCCATCTGAGTTCCTGCAACACATACAGTAGGCAGTACACAACACTGTAACTTGGAAAGCTCACACAGCACATCAAGGAGGTATTTTATTTTAAAAAGCACTACAAGACATTGCTAATTAAAATATGTCTACATATAATGTAGGTACTTATGATTTCTGTTAATAAAAGTAGTTGTTGCAAAGCTTTCTATTGTTGTGACCTAAGTTTTCTTTTAATATGCACACAGATTAGTTTCCTGTTCTCTCCCAGATCCATTATCTAAGGCTACATTGAGATATCTGATCCATTATCTAAGGCTACATTGAGAGAACTGTGTATCACAACTCATTCTGTACCCTGGGTATGGCTGAGTTCATCTGCAAGTAATACTGTTCCTCACTTCTGCAACACTATTCTGTCCTGTCCCAATATTATCAAGCAAATCAAGCACAGGACAGTAGTGTGAAATTTTGACATGCTGTATCATGTCATCTTTTTACAGAACTCTGCACTGACAGCTGACGTGCATCTCATGTTCTTTTTATACTATTTTATCTGCATTTGCACTTGAGGGCAGGCACCAGTACATTTTAAACAAGCGTGATTCTCCCATGCACTTGATTTTGGATTGTATAAATTCCTTCCTTAACTAAAATTAATTTCATTTTTCATTAAATTAAAAGTGTATTTCAGTATAAAAACTGCAGTAGAATCAGGAAGATAATTTCTGTTAGGCGTGAATACCAGATAAAGTGAATCCTGACTGGTGCAGGTTACGAGCGGGTACCATCTGAGGTTTCCCTGGGCATGCTGTACCCCTGGAAGTAGGAGTGGGTGGTACTGTTTTTGTTGCTGCGGTGATATCGTGGACTGGACCATCATAAAGCCCTCTTGGAACGCCACGGATATCTGCCAACTTTCAAAGCACAATTTAAAAATATTAAAGTCTTATATTACATCGTACATCTTCATAGTCTAAACATACTGTAGGCTTTTTGATTAGACATTGAAGAAAGTCTTCAATTTCATCAGTTCCTGGTAGATAACGTAGACACCCACTAAAACGCTTGAATATCGTATATTTGAGTTTTCCCCAGTGCTTAACACTAACAGCTGTTGGTAGTTCAAAATGTTCTCAAAGATAACACAAAGCTCTATGTAGACAGATAATTAAGATTACTTGTGCCTGTAGCTAATATGAAATGCAAACAAAGCTGGCTTTGGTTATCACTGCAGAAAGCTTGAGTTCTGAGCCAGTAGGCGCTCAGCAAAATCCTACATCCCATATGTTTGCTTCTCTTGCCATAACACTAAATCTTGGAGCTTCCTTATTCAGAAACAAACATGTCATAATTTCACATCTTACCCTGCTCCTGGCTTTTATCTTTTTGTAAACATAATCTGGGAATGTCTTTCGGGGGATAAAGCGACCAGATCCTTCTGCAACGTTCAGCTTCCCAGCTTCCAATACAATTTTCCCCTGGCTTATTACTACCACAGGAGCTCCGCGGCACTCCATTCCTTCAAAGATATTATATTCAACAGTCTGGAAGAAGCAAAGCACATTTTTGATGTGTTAGTTTATCAAATACCTCAAAGTGTGTTCATATTTATCTTAATTGATTCATTATTAGTTCATACTATGACAAATTCTCTTACCAAGTTATGCAACTTAGCAGAGATGATTTTGGTTTCCTTGGGGTTCCAGATGACCATATCAGCATCTGAGCCAACAGCTATTCTGCCTTTCCGGGGGTAAAGGTTAAAAATCTTTGCGGCATTTGTACTGGTAACTGCAACAAACTCATTCTCATCCATCTTCCCTGCAGCCTAGAAAAACAAAATTCTATTCTGTTGGTTTATAATCTCCTGTTAATTAAAAGGCTGTAACCAAAAGGGAAAATTAAGATCAATAGACAAAATACAGTTTCTCCTTGGGTAACGCAAGGCTCGACTTCATGTAAAACACTCCCTTGGGTCCCAAAATAAAATTTTCTTGGTGAAGAGAGTTTACATTACATGCATAAAGAGCAAATATTGAGGTAAGTTACTTCAGTGGATGACTATTCACCTCTAAGAAGATCCAGGTTACATATAGACTTGTGAAAACAAACTCTTGCATAACCCAGGTGAGTGGATGTACAGTACTGCATTAAGCGCAGTGTGTTAATAGTGAGATTTCAGAATCTATCATTTAAAGTAATGTACCACAGCCTTTTCCCAAATGACTGACATCCGTTCTTCAATCCCATTGGTCCCCTCAGGTATGAGTGTGAAGTTATCTTTTCCTACTGCTTTCTGGGCTGTTGTAAATGTACAGTGAGCACTTCCAGTTACTTGCAGGTCCCCACTGTTAAGAGAAAAATGTAAAAAATCGGCATCAGTATGTTGTTGGGTAATGTGATTCAAATTCATTGATACTCAAGAATATTTTAACAGCTTCAGTTTTCTCAAAAATGTAAATGGATGGTTGGTACACTATGAAGGGTAGAGAAATCTGATACAGAAAAGAGTCTCTATACTGTATTTAATATAATGTGGTTTAAGGCTGAAAATAAACTTTCTCTGCGTAGACCCAAATAGAAGTTATATTCATGCACAATAAAAATGCAAAAATTCAAGTTTTTCACGAGTACACTAGGCATATTTGTAATATTGTAAACTGAGCAGATCAATTTGTTGATTGTTAGATTGTTGTTTGTTTGCTTGTTATTCCTTGGGATAACAAAATACTGAGGTTGCCAACTGCTCAGTGTTTGGCTGCCAAAGGGAGGTGATTATGAATCTCTAAAAATAGCTGCTCAAAAAAAACAAAACAATTTCAACTAATGCAAGAACATGCCCTGCTTGATTAATGATCATCCAGTTGCTATTGGCAAGTCTATAAGGGAAGCTGCCAAGAGAATGAGATTTTCTTCTTAAACAATTAGCAGACTAGTCCAGGAAACAAGGCCAGGCCATGGCCTGGATGGCAGAGGCTCTCCACACCAGCCAAGGTGGTGGCAGAAAGAGAAGTGTAGTGTTTGATTCACTGACGAAGGCAGTTTTGCCCTTGCCAGACTTGACAGAAGACAGTGTGTGTGACAACCAAGGTGAGTGATATGCTGATTGCTGCACTGTCCAAATACAGCATACAACAGGGCAGTGAAAATGTGATGATGTCGGAAGGAACAGAACACCTTCACCAGATTAGAGCCTTACCGCTCAGAGTTACATTGAAAATGTCCTTGAGCCACTACTGTTTCCAACGAGTCAATCTGGAAGTCAGTTTTCCAACAGGGCAAAGCTAAATCACAGTGCCTGTGCTACAATGAAGTGTCTGAGTTACAATGAACGTCAATAAAACGTTGTCGAGGTCTTGCTGAACACCTGACACTCAATGCCATCAACAGGAGGTAACCACAACCAGCCAATGTTCAACATCTATATCTGCACCGTAACAGTGGTGGTCTCTGTGTCTGCACAGCCAGGAATGTCTTAATGCTGCATGTCACATCTAATAACTCGTGTGTAACACTTTCATTTTGACAGGTTCATACTGAAAGCCTAACATGATTCTTTGATCAGCATTTAAGTTCACATTTTCTGTGATTTTCATAGATGTTTAAAATATTACAATATTTTATTTAGAGTATTGCATTTTTTTTGTGAGTCAATATACAATTGTAATTTTCACATTCCCAAGGTGTTATGGATTCATATTATAAGAATAAACTATAACATTACCAAGGAGACACTATCTGTTTTGTTGTACATTTCAAATCAGGCCTTCAGAATGAAAAGTAAAGCACTGTATACTTACCAGGAGAGCAGTGAATTGAGGTAGTCTGGAGTGCTGGGATCAGGGCTCAGAGGAGGAGACATGACAAAGCCTGCTGCTTTCACCCAGTTTTTACTCCAATAGTGAGAGCCATCAGTGCCGAGACTGGCTGTGATTGGTTCCCCATATACCACTGTGCCTGAGAAACCAACAAGACACATCAAGCTTACAAGATTAACTCAAATGGCTGGTGAAAGTCTCTGTATTCCCTAAGCCTAACTTATATCTTGAGTGAAATATCATTTCTCCCAAATGACATTATTACCATTACTAGCTAGTAGCAAAAGAGACAGCTGTAAGGAATGGCTTGGTTGCTTAATTTGTACACTGCCTGCCTCTCAAGCAACTAAAATGCAAGAGGACAAGACTTAGACTTAGACCTGCAGTGCAACTGAGAGGTCAGTGGTCAGGGACTTCTGCGGACATAGACGTAACATCATGTAAAATGAGGACCAGGAAGAAATTCATTGTAAGCCATTGAAAATCTAGCAGTACTGTGAGGTGTCAAAAGTCCAGATACCCAAGGCAATTTTTCCTCTATGTTTGAACTGACTGTTTTTCCACAGAAACAAAACAGTCTGCAAATATCAATTCTCTGCAACATTAAATGTGATCACTAACAGTTAATTACTGATGTTTTTAATTCAATTTTTTTAGTTCATTTATGGTATTATCTATCAGCACCTGGGATGGTTGAAACCATTACCATCATACCTTTTCTTCTGGCCTGGGCAATGACATCTGCTGCACCTTTGCTCATGACTTTTGTGACATACAGCGGACAGTTGGCCTGTTTGGCTATGGTTATTGCACGGTACACTGCTTCTGTCTCGACCTGAAATGCATTACATTTCAAATAAGTGAAAACAGCCCCCTGAGCAAATGACATAAAGTTCACTGGTTTCCAAGCACTTACAGGACTAGCAGATTAAATTGCTTCTACAAGATGTTGTGAGAAAATAAAGGGAAGACTATACCTCCTCAGGGTGACTCAGAACATGTCCTTCAGGACCTGTAATTCCAAGCTCTAGCAATATTTTCTGTTCCTAGAAAAGTACAAATAGACAAACAGTGTAAAATGATGTAAAGTGGTACTATCCATGGGACTAAAATTAAAGCAATGTATGAAATTAATATGATGTCTGTATTTCTGTTTTATCAATAAAATTTTAACTTATTGTTTAATTAGTTATTCACATATTAATTACAATCAAACCTTAGTCACTTAGAAAGACACACATAATATAAATTTCACACTTTTATGGACTGTGAATCAATATCAAATTCTTTGAGTTTAGATAAAAGCAGCTAATCGTGTCAATATCCAAATCCTGACAGGGTAGCTCTAGACTGATTTTTAATTATAGCTTTTTGACACTCAAGAGTGATTCACGGACCATTTGGAATCCACCTTCTTCATTTTGCACAAGCCCCAGGAAATTGTAAAAGATCTGTGTTTTCTCACTCATGGTATGAGACTGAATAATGGAACAGGAAATGAACTAATAAAGCAATCCAGGAAATGCAGACAATAACATAAATAAAATACATGTTTTCATTTTTATTTATTATAATGGAAGAACATTTCCAGGCACTCGCTGCTTCATGTTAGACTGTGGTGAGGAGGAGATACTGTATGTGATGCAAAGCAATGAAAACTGGGGGGAAGGGCTAATTACTGTACAGTCCTTCTTTGTTTACAAATTGTGAAGAGCATCTTTCTGTGTTAGTTTTACAAATTCACTTACAAGTTGGTTACAACAATTTGTACTTTTTTGTGATACCGTATATTCATAAGAACATACTGTATGAAAGTGTGCAAAAATGAGGAAACTGTTTGCCATATCTAAACTTGTTTATAGCAGCTAAGTGATTTGACCATCTCATACAGATTGAAAGAAACAAGAGTGTCATCTTTGACAATATGGATAGATAGCTTATTCTAGACTCCTACACTTTTTGTATTCAGGTTTTGAACGCATATGTCCTTATTTTCCAATTCCGTCTTCTGCTTTGTTTCCTTGCTGACTCTGAAGAGGTCCATAAGATTAATCTTGTCAGTGCCTTTGAGGATTCTGAGTGCTTGAATCAGGTCCCAAACCTTCTTAAATGTTCACTGTTGTCAAGTTGTCCATTGTGGACAACTACTGTAGATGAAGTTACCATAATCTTAATAATTCCAGCTTTTTATGTTGTTTTGATGTAATTAAAAGGCTTGTGTTTCTCAATGAGCCTGGTTTTGTAGTTTGAGAATATGAGTGAGAATTCTGTGCTAGGTAAGAAAAACAACATTTAACAAGTGTTACCAAAAGCATCCTCTTCTTCTTCAACACGTTTTTATTCAGTCTAAAATGAAAAATAACTTGGACAAAACCTGAAAACAAACCTCCTCGATAATGTCTCCATTTTCTGCATGCACTTGAGCAATGGCTCCCAGGTCTCGAATGATGCTCAATATCTCATACATCTGTGAGAAATGGCAAGAGTCTGTCATGTGTGCACAGAAAGAATAGTATTGATACTATTAATATTTATTAATACTAATTAGTTTTTTTACCTGGGAATCAGAGCACTGGTATTTGTCCTTGTAAGCCATGAAGACCAAAAAAGAATTAACTCCTGTAAAAAAATACATAACAGGTCAAATCAACCTGGCGTTTCCCAGGAGTAGACCCCAGGCTACTTTGACCCTAAATTAGATAAGAGGTCATTGAAAATTATGAAATAATTATAAAATCACATAAAAATCAAGATGTTCAACATATAAAATTATAACAACTCTGTTGTTGGTTATGTATTCTTTTAATTGCAATGCCATGACAGTTTAAACTATAGGCCTGTTTCCACAGGAGTTTTGTATGAAAACATTTGTATGACAGCAAGTCATAACACACATGACAGCAGGTCCTGTATACTAAAATTATCTTATAAAGTAAATCTCTCATGTTAATTCCTTTTATGACCTTTAAACGTCTCCAAACCGTGTCAACATTCAATGCTCTGCTGTATTAAATATTATTAGGAGAAAACACATTACACATGAACAAGTTAAGGTTAAATTCATACTGAAAAGTGGAAAAGAAACCTTCTGGTGTGAAGAAGGCTCTACAATCCCTATTTAGGTTTTTTCCTTCTTACTTTCACAAATGAAGAAGCTTGACGGCCTAAATACGTTTCTCTTTCTACTTTTCAATGTGAAATTATTGTTTTATTATTTATTATTATTTTCAGTTTGCATGCTAAAGTAGCTCCCCACTCAAACCAAATACGTTAAATATCTACTGAGTATAAACTTTTCTTTTTATGAAAGCACACTTTATGGCTCAATGGGAATGGGTCCCCTCCTGTCTCTGTGGATTAATTTGTAAAGGCTTCATGCAAATAATGCCTGAGGCTGTGTAAGAGTCAGTCTCTTCAAATAAACATGCTCAACTGGCAAAGAGGAATCTGAGTGTAGCTTGCAGAAGTTAATCTAGGTCAAATAAAAAAAGAACTAGACTTCTTTTTTATACATTACTTCACTGCACATTTCCAGGAAAGCATTACATAGAAAAGGCAAAGCTCTTTTAGTCTAATGTAGCTAGTTTTGACAAAAATGCAACACTACATGTATGCAACATATACCAAAATGCCAGTTATATGACTAATTTACTGTATCCCAGTAACATCAATTGAGAACATCAATAGGATTTTAATGAAAAATGGTGTGGATGCTCATCTGCAAAGTAGGGCTTTACCTATACGGATTTATTGATTCACATTCTAAAATGACTTTATTTCACAAATTTACTGGACTTTAAAAACAAATAATCATGGAATGTAGTTCTAGTAGGTAGCTGTGTCAGCATGCATAGGCTGCAAAGGAACAAGTAAAAGTTACACACCCGAAGAGGGTTCCACAGCCGAAACATTGTGTTCCTTTTCTTCTATTTTCAGCATGGAATAAACCTTTACTTGTTCCTTACAAAATGTTATACATAAAACATACTCATATCATCAGTGGCTTTCTGAAGATGATAAGCTTTTATGAGGAACAAATCTCAAGGGAAGCAGCAGATGTCCCGGTATACAGTATACCGTACATACAATACCTTTATCCTTGACCAATGCTTCAAGTTCTTCCTTAAGGCTTTCATGCCAGCGTGTGATATCCACGTGAAAAGAATAATCACAGCATGATTTTTTGTCTGCAAGCTCTTGCCACTGTTCATAGGCAGCCAGAAGGCTTGATCCAGGCTCAGGAATGACATGGTCAACTATAGGAACAGAGATTCAATAAGATATAAGTGGATTTCATTGTATACTATGGTGTATAACAACAATGTAACAAAATGCATGTACTGCAGGACCTTTCTTGTGGATGTTGTAGACTTTCTCGTGGGAGAGTTGTTCCATCCAAATATTTCTTGCTTTTGACGAATGTTTTTTATTTTGATTCCAGAATATGTATTGTAAGCTACAGAAATGGTTTGTAACTACTTCAGGTGTGAAAACTTAACAGCCAAAATGTGTTTTTTTCTTTCTAATTCACCCAGGTTCTAATTCACTGTTATATCATTAAGTCAGTTATAGTTGGAAAAAAAAAAGGTTTGTGAACCCTTTGGAATTACCTGGATTTCTGCATTAATTACTCATAAAACTGTGGTCCTACAATTTTACCGAATCTAAATAAGGCATCACTTATTAAAAAGAGTCATTTTTATACATTATGATGGTTCTACTTTATAGGAAGTAAGTTTCTTAAAACAAATAAGAAAACAACCCCAATGTTTAAATGATGTGTTCAGTACTGACAAGAAGAAGTACAATTGTTTGTGTGTTATTAGTTTAAGCAGATTGTGTTTATCTACTATTGTGACTTAGCTGAAGATCAGACCACATTTGTATGAGTAATTAATGCAGAAATCCACGTAATTCCAAAGGGTTCACAAACGTTTTCATGCAACTGTATATATTCAACTATATTCAAATATTCAATGTGACTGGAGCATTCTTGGTGAGATCATTATGTCAGCCTCCATAGGGATGGTTCATGGGGCAGAGTAAGCTTAAAGGATAAATCTAGCGAGATAAGTTGCACAAAAGTAAGAAACAACACAATGCCCACATCAAACAGGAAAGACAAACATCACCCTCATACTTTATCATCATAACATAAGAAGACTGCTCTATAATAGGGTTTTCCTCTTTCATTAGACTAGAAACCAGATTCTATGCAGGTAATATTAACACTGGAAGAGAACAACTCTTCTTAAAAGGGGGTTATTGTCTTATTTATTTGAAGAAACTTACTTCCTACATAGTAGAACAATCATAATGTCTAAAAACGACTCTTTTTAATAAGTGATGCCTTATTTGGAATAGTTAAACACTCCATATTAAGTGACTTTAGCAATACCAGACATGTTTTCCTAAAGCCTTTACTAGCTTGAGAGATCTGGTCAAAAAGCTTCCCATTCAAACTTCAAGTGTTGCCTATGCAAGTATTGCTAAGTGCAGTTATAAATTACCCCTCCAGACTAACAGCGAGTCACAGTATCTCCAAAAGATAGCAAGCGTTTCACGTACTGATCATGGTGGTTCCTCCTGCCAGTGCAGCCTTTGTTCCATGGAAAAAGTCATCGGCTGGGGCCATGCCCAGATAATGTGCATTGAGACAGGTGTTGACATCTATTCCACCTGGAATAATGATGTTACCGTAGGCATCAATTGTCTTCACACCTCCAGGCACAATGAGATTCTCCCCTATTTGCCTAAAAGTCAAACAACACAGAATGCTGAAACATGCCATATCTTGCCAATAATAATGCTGAAATCTATACTTGTATGGCACTTTGGAACTTGCATTCCACAGGGCCTTTTCTACTTTTAGATTTTGTATTCTTTGTAATTGGTGATGTCCTTTAAAACATATTGAATGTTAGCTCTTTAGAATCCACATATACACTACTGTAGGGGAGCAATGTGGTAACTGAAAGACTTAAGTGTGTGTTATTTTATTTTACATTCAAATTTAACTGAAATCATAGACCATGTTTGACTAGTTGTTGCTGTATTACCTCTTACAAATATAGGAAACGTTACAAATGAGAGGAAACCATTTGGCCCATGTAGCTCATTTGGCTGCTAGTATCTAATTGATTCAATGATCTTATTCAACCATTCAATCATTTCTTAAAAGGAGCTAGGTTTTGAATTTCAACATGGGTGTATAGACTCCCACAACCTTTTGTTCATTAAATTGCCCCTTGTTCTCAGCTTTTGTAGTTGCTGTTATTTCTGAAGTGGTCATTGGGATGACTTTGTCAATACCTTTGAGAAATCTTAAAATCAGGTCCCTTCCCAGTCTCTGCTCAAACAGAAAGACTAAAACAGGCATACTGTCAACCCTGAGTCAACAGTCCTCTACAGCAACAATGAATTGTGAATTGCTATGTCAAAAGTTTAGTCTCTTGCCACAGAACACTTCAAACCTGTTGTGAGTTCTAGGGACCGAGATCACAATAACTATCCCTTGTTACAATTACAATGAGAGCTGTTACATACACAACCAGAGTCTTACAAAGTGCAAAGTATGTAATAAGTCCTGATGAAGATCTATTTAAGATCAGAACTAATGATTTGGTGTTGAAATAAATATTTTTAGAATATCTGAAATTAATGTACGGATATGACATCTTTCCTCATGTTCTAAAGCAACCACAAAAGGAAAATTGCACAATTGGAAAAATATGCTTGAAAAGAGAGGTTTGGTGATTGTGTGGACCTAGCTACCTTTTCACATGTTGTTCCCATTACATTAGCAAACTTTACAGATGTCAGTGAAGTTCTTAAATAAATATTATATTTCCATTTTAACAAGTGACTAGATGATTCCTGTTGTTGTTTTTAATACAGGCAATGCAAAGGACCCCCAGATTTATTACATTTATAAAATTAAAGTGAATTCTTACTTTATGATCCCATCTTCTACATATACGTCAGCATAAAATGACTGGTCATCATTGACAATCTTTCCCCCTTTAACGATGAGGCGATCACTCTGAAAAGGAAAGAGTTGCAATTTTCAATGAATAACTCATATTTCAAAGCCTACATTACAATGTCATTATCACATAAATATCTCTCTCCAAGAAGGCAATGCTGAAAATAAACAATATGGTTTAAGCTAAATATAGTAACAGAGTATGCTCGTTTTTGAAAAGTATTAATTCATTATAATGAAGATAGTAAAAGCATTGTTAAAAGCATTGAGGTTGTTACATTTTCACTATTTTTAACCTGCCTATGAGGAAGCAAATTCTAAATCTGTTAATATAATGAATAAAGACAGCTTTTACTGGAACTGAGATTTGATTGTAAATTATTATTACTTCCTTTATAGTTTGTTAAAATAGTGCTAGCTGTTTCATTCCAAGTGTTCCCAAAGCAGTTTAAGTGCAGGAGGGGACTCACTTCATGCACCACTGAAGTGCACCTCTAACTTAAGAGACCCATGGTAGCCATTCTTCCACACAATCAGACCAGGTGGAGAAGCGAGACATTTCACCCATACAAATAAGGGGGTAATTTAATGAGGTCGGGTTGGAACAGACCCAGAATGTATCTTAGCCAAGACACAGTGGTTAATACCCTTATGTTTTTTTTTAAGTTCCATGGGATCTATAATGACCAAGGAGTCAAGATTTTGGTTAAAGGTCTTACCTTTCTATAGTACAGTATCCACTAGTCACCATACTGGGTCATTAGTTTGGAAATTCTGGTTTAGAGGAAAGAGTGTCATCTGCTGGCCCACCAAAGCCACTTGGAGCAGTGATTTAGTTTTCCTTACAGGCCTCCCATTCTTGTACTGACCAGTATGGCACACATGATGCAAAATATTGTATTTCAGTGAAATGATTAATGGCACCATATGAGACGTGTCCCACGATAGACAGCACAGTGAATCTGAGTTATACCTAAACTTGCTTCATAGTTCATTAGATCATTTACTGTACCCAACATTCTATGACAAACGCCACACAAAGCAGTCCACCTTGTATGACAACTGTATTGATTTAATGTTAAAATTTGTTTATGTAGCTTATTGACATATAAGAATCCCATTAAAAAATGTCATTCTGTCATTAAAATCTCTTGGTTTATTACAATCAGAAGCATTCCCAAAAGCTAGGCCTATATTCAAAATTCCTTTATAATAAACAAGAATTAATACATCTACAGTACAGTTAATCTTCCAACTTTTAAACTTCATTAATATCAGAGTTATATCTACTGCTTATTCTGGTCACAGATTAAATCTTATCTCACAGAATAAGTGTCATAAATATGCATAAACTATCAATATTATTTGAATATGGAGTTATTGTTTTATTACCACATCTAGAAAGATTTTTTTATCCATATGCTTTCTGTCCTCAGGCCAGGACCCATAGAATACTGTTTCCAGGAAAACTGTGTTTGTTATCTGTTATCTGTGCAGGATTGTACAAAGGATGGTACACGCCCTCAATACCATATTTTTGTACTGCACTCAAGGGGGTCTAGGAATAGAGGGCTCCCCTGAATTAGATTTTTTTAACTGGAGTTTTGACTATGTGCACCATTACTGTGTGTTAGTGTACAGTTTTCTAATTCCACACTCTGTCTACAGCCAGAGAAATGTAGCTCTGTTCTTAAAACATCTTGAAAACCCACTAAAACTCAAATGTTTTGTCACAGTATCTGTTTTGGAATTTACAAATCTCAGTTTTATGAATTTATGAAAGGACATATTAATGATTCTCTCTTCCAACTCTTTAATTAGACTAAGATACAGATAACTGACTCAATCATTTCTTACAACAAAAGTGATTATTTAAATTGAATTCTGTTATTCTGCCGATTCCTTAGCATTTTTACCTCATTTTCTTTCCAGGTTTGAAATTCATTCAAATCACTAGTGAATCTATTTGCTGGTCTCAGGATAGCCATCACTGGATATTAATTTACATCACGAACAGCACCTGGACCACAAAACTGTTTTGTTGTAGAGGGTCATGACAAGATGGCAGGAGGATATTTAGATATTCAATCAGAAGAAAACTATAGTGCAAGGCAGAGGTCTGAGTGCCCTGAGTCAGACATACATGTCAATCAGTGTTTGTCAGGATGCAACCTACAAATGTACTGTAGTTTGAATGCAGAAGGAAGTGATCTTTAAAAAAACCTATTGACTTCAAAACAAACCATTTACTGTAAGTAAAATTTTACATACAGACATTATTACAAAGGCATATTACTTCTCATACAATATAATGCACTTTCTAGTACGTATTCATAAACTCAATCTATAAATTTTCCTTTTTTCCAGATTCCCTTAAATGTCACATAATATTATTTGTATGAAAACCCAGTGTGATATACGTAAAGTGACAACACACTAGGAGGTTACAAAAGCTTCCTGCTGAGACTGAACATGGTTAGCTACTGTATGTAGGGCAGTCGAAAGGCAGTTTGTCATTGCACACAGCTTCCTCTCAGTCTGCATTAGGATTTGGAGATTTTAATGTTTTGGAATAATGCCAAAGGGGAATGACGATATTGGTTCACCTTATCTTACAAACGTCTAACCAACCAAAAACTTAATTTAGTAAACAGGTTCCAATTAAGAGTCAGGATACCATCATTTCCAAGATAACGAAAAAGAAAAAAGAAACGTTGCAATTTTAATTGCAGTTGAAGGCCAGACGGCTTACGCGTAAAATCTAATGGAACAGAGTAGCTCACTGAGATTTACTGTAATATTTTCTTTTTGTGCATTTAATATTTTCGTATTTTCTATGTTTCATATTTTCTAATTCTCGAATCAAATCAATGTAATTAAAAAGTAATGACGGCCAGCTGTGTCAAATTGAGCGGAAGGGTATGGGATTCTGTTTGCGATGTTAACAGCAATCCATTTGGGAGCGAAGGGAAGTAGCTCTTATGGACGCATACTATTCTGTTACATGGCAGAACCACAAAGAAACGTTACTGAAAGGGGCACACATTATTGCCATTTTCAAATCAATAACATTAGCACAGCTTCTAAAAAGACACACGAAAATACATAGCATGGGCTGACTGTTCGTTTAATATGAAGTCAATAATGAAATATTCTGTAACGTACAGATGAATTATAAAAAATGAAACATCGGTAGAAACATCACTCCAAAACAGCGTTTTTAGAAATATATGGATAAACAGTGTTAAAGCCTTCCAAAAATCACAAATAAATGATAACTTGGATATTAACTTGAATATAGCAATGCATTTTACCTACTATTACCTTAGGCTTTCAGGCTACACATAAAATGGGACAATTCGTATACTATTGACCATAATATTTTGTGGGAGTGTTAAAGATGCCATGCTTCTGCTTAAACTAAACTACATATTAGCACATTTTCTTTATTTGGAAGCGGTATCGGTTTCAATTTACGTGAACCTGGGAACAATCAAACACAATCTTGACGTTTCGTTGTAGAAAGCCAGGATGCAGTTTCACATACAGTAACAACATTTGGGCCAAACAACGTTTGTGCTCTTGATGTGTCCGTATCGCATCATTTGTATCTATAAACTAATAGTTCCTGCGATATTTTCAACATAAATAACTTATAACGACAGTCTACCACAGTATGATTCGCTAAATCATGGCTGTCACTGTGGTTGCAATGGCTTCTTACCGTTATACGAGGGATGTTCTTCTTGCCTTGGAAAGACATGCCGGCCAGTTCAGGAGCAGGTTTGATTTCTATGTCAGTGATCGTACGACAGGAATCTCTGCAGAGTTTATCTCCGTACGGAAAACGATCCGAAAGATATGATGTAATACTGTTCACTAATGTAAGTCGCCCAGCACAAGAGGAAATCGTGCCTTAATTATTATGATTATTTTGTGTCTGTTGTTGTGCCAGACAGAATGCTTCGAAGCTCTCTTCCACTCACAATACTTCTCGCTTGCCATCTGCCTGATTAGCATTCCAGACTCATCCCAACGGTTAATAACAAGCAGTCCGGCCTTTACAGAGAGATTTCTTTGGCCTTTAATTGGAAACAAAAAACCCTTCACGTTCTGCAAACAAAATCCAGACAATGCCAAATGCACAGGAAGATAAATTTACCCTATAAATGTATGAATGTAATTATTAATTTCCTTCATACATCTATAAACATGTTTTCTTGGTTTGTTTACACCTTCTTATTTAATAATAATAATAATAATAATAATAATTACGGCAATACCTCTAGTTAAGAATTATTTTTAATAATCATTTCAGATATTTTTTTTGTTAAAATGTTGCTTCATACATCATGCAGCATGTTTTCTTTATACAGAACAACAAACTTACTCTGCTTGTTCTTAAAGTACAGTATTGCCTGTTTTAGCAAACTTTCCCTGTTTTTATCTTCATTAGTTGCCAATAATCAAAGTTTGGATGAAAGCATTTTTAGATGGCAAAACTTTACTTTGTTGTATGTATAGAAAGATTAAATGTCCATTAGATGCTTAAAGCTTCATAGTTGGAATGGAACTCTTGTATGTCAATATTTATATTGGCGGTGTCAGTTTTTTTCTGAAGGGAATATCCTGCTTCTGTTGCTTGAAGAAATGGAATGCTAACCCTTAATAAAAACATTAAATTAAAGTTGTATGAACACAGTTTTTTATCTTATTCACTTTCTCTTACAGTCCATTTCTTTACCTTATATTTCTTGATTCATACTATCATATAAAAATGCCTGTATATTGCTTCAAACACTTAGTAGAACTGAATGAATTCTGGTATGGATTTCCTTTACATCATGCAACTAACTTTATAGTATGTACAGTAGGACAAATAGTCTACCCTGTCTTTTCTATAACCTTTTCCTAGATTGCTTATTCAAAAATATTAAAACAAATGCCACCAACAATAGAGGTCATTTTTAACCACACAGTTTGTTTAACTAACAGATTGTTAGTTCCATACTGCCTCAAAACAGTTCTATCTAGACTAATTCTTCTTTAAACTTTTATAAAGACATAGGTTTAATGAAGTGCTGATACTAATGATACAGATAGTAAAGGTACTACTGACAATGCTTTTTAACAGTACGTATAACTAAGATCTCCTTAAATTAGATTACAACATAATATTACTAGAATCTGAAACATATATTTGCTGAAACTACTGTATTTCAATTCAGCAATATATATGATATATGGTTTACAGTACTGTACATATTGGTAACAGTACTGAGTATCATAATAATATATGACAACATGTTCCCCATGTATAAAAATGAAAAAAGATAAGCTAAAAAATATGACATTTCAATCATTTTTGCAGTAGAAAAATAGTAAAGATCAGTGCTATAAAATTCAACAATGAATAAAAAGTAAATGAAAACAAAAATGGAATGTTCATTTAACAATATTTTGACTATATCAGATAATCAAAAATACTTAATTGTTGTTTTCTAATCAAATTCCAAGAATCCATATCTATGTAGAAAAATAATGACAATACATTAATTTAAACATCTTTGGTAATATCAGGGGTTTGACCAGAAGCTCAGTGCAATGAAAGGAATATCATAGCATTGGTGTTACAGCCTTTCTTCTTAAGTCTGTCATGATCTTAATTATATCCTTTAATTCTTCATGATCTACTATGTATGACATATTATTGTCTTGGTAAACAATAATTATCAAAAACACTAAAACTAGCCATTGTAGACTTTTCACAAAGGAAAAGTTAGGCAAATGAAAAAATGTATCAAAATCTCTATACATAGTTCTTCAATTGCAACATGAGTTTCAAAATAGATGGATAAGATACTAAAACAAATCACCCCCACCCTAAGTGAAAATACAATGTTGGATACATTTTAAAGCTTTCTGTGATCACATAAAAAAGGTGTTTTATAGACACCTTTAATTAGAATTACAACTTATATTTTTGTGAGCAGAGCACTTGTTTGTACTTGTACTTGTTTGATCTTCAACATGACTGACTTCTATAAGAATGTGATAACACGTTACCTGTTCTATGTCTAACAGAGATTCGTAATGAAAACTTGTCTGCACGTTCAAAAACCGGAAATTACACTGTCATATAATGGAAACGGGTAGTATTTAAAATAATTAAGATGTTCAATTTCATGATAAACACTGAAAAATAAGTTTAAAAGTTTTTTTAAAAATTTACCTCAAATAACCTTGGATACTTATTCTATTACTTATGCTCAAACCACCTAACCTTGAATGTACTGTATACATAACTTTATTTTTGTAATACAGTACAGTACACAGTATGCTGTATACAGTATATTGCTGTCTGAGTAGACTGTTCACCTAATACCTATAAATGCTTCGTAAACTTACCTGTAACTCTCCATTGTCTACAGTGTTATTGCCGTCTGAAATGAGCCCTCGTCCCAAGGGGCTGTTTGATGCTTCGGCACTACAAGGGGTCCCTGTGAAGCTGGAAAAATCGCTCACTTCACTGCCTAGCTCACTTACGGTGTCCGACTGGACTGATGAAATGTGTCTTTCTTCTTTAAGGTTCTTAATACCTTTTTTCCCTACGTTGAACGAATCAAAGTTGAGAGTTTTATTTTCAAAAGCTCCTTCCACGTTACAGAACATGCCGCCAAACTTAACTCTGGGTTTTGGGCTGTTTGTCCCCAGTTTTGATAGTAATGATCCTTCATCGTCTTCCTTAGGAAGTTTCCTTTCTGCCATTCTCCTAGATGAGGTCGAGGTTTCTCTGCGGTGCGGCTAATCCTAATTTTAGCCAGAAAAATAGTAACTGGCTTGGTTTCATAAGCCACTCATGTACCCCTTTTCACTATTAATAAGCAGGTGACGCCTTTCTATTGAGACCGCGAATGGAGAAGCTGTCCATGGGGTGTGGTTCTGACAGCACTCCCAGTATAAAACTCTCTAGGGAGCTGTTCTCCAGGGCGAGAGTGTCAGGCGTGCTGGAATGACTACTGTATATACTATATACTATATACTATATACTATATACTGTACTTATCACGACAACCATTTTTTTGTTCTGAAAAGAGACGAATAATCAGTTGGCAAATTTCCAAATACGAGTTACAAATTCGATGTAATCTTTAATCTGTAGAATTATTTAATGTAATAGTTTTAAATATGTTTTGTGTGTTTTTTAGAGATGTTCCAAAGCTTCAGGACACGTTATCGTGCGGCAGCAATGATCGTATAGTAGTATTAAGCGTAATAAGCCCTTTCTGTAGTGAATCTTAATTGGAAACAAAAATCTGGAAAACAATGGTAATTCTTCAACACACGTTGCGCTGGGAACAGAAGACATGTCTAAGTTTTGAGTATAATTCATGTAATGGAAGTTTATGAAATCCAATATGACCGCTTGGTTTGCTTGTTCCTTCACATTACTTTATGCAGTTCAAGAAATTTAGTTTCGCCTGAAGCGCTCGAACAGCTACGTGTACAGTATATCTTTATAACTGTAATAATTTAGGAACCTGGATCCTTTGTTATGCGTCGTCTAGAAGTATACAAAATTGTCAAATGTAACAACAACAATAATATTCAAAGGTACTGTACCCGCAGATGCTCGTTGTTTCTCAAGTCTTAAATTAAAGGGGCTAGGTTTTTGGGAGAAGTTATACTGTATCTGCAGTAGCAAGAGACATCAACAACTGTAAAGGGAGAAGTGTACTATAAAAGTACTACATGAAAGTACCCGTAAGAAACATTACCCATATCAAGCTAATGGGACTATATGAACAGACTGTATACAGTATTTTAATATTAAATGTAATGTCAAAGGGATCATGAAGCAATAAAACAATTATGTTTTATTAAAAAAATTACAATAATATATGCATTTTACAAATGAATAGAAAGAGCTAATATACATGGATCACAATACAAAAATATGTGTAAAATCTTGTAGCTGATCAACAAATAGTCCCGGTTTAAGGGCTGAAAATTATTTGTTTCTCACTTAACCAAACATTAAATAATTAAGGTATGAATATTAAGTGATTATAATGCAGATCACAAAACAAATTACATACTTTTGACCTGTATAGCCAGAAGCTAAAAGCTGTTATTTATAACTCTTGCATATATTTACAATAGACCCTTTTATAAAATATACAAGAAATAAACATGATTTAATACAAATATTCACAATATGGTTTCCTGAGTCTAAACTAAATCCATAAAATCCATTAGATAACCTAGTGTTTGAGTGCTGACACTGCAATTTTAAACTCTGGTCTCTTGTTTACAGAATACATAAGAGATCTTGAACTATGCAAATACACAAGTTGAAAGAAAGGTAAAACTTATTTGTTATCAAGCTGTGTAAGGCACTGAGGGTTTAGTGAAGGCTTTAATTATTGTTTATAATACTTCATATAACAGCTACTGTCCTTTAACAGCTTGAACTATATAGGCACACCCTGGAATACACACAGTAAAAGTATATACCAGGGGTCAGCTTTGAAAGTTTGAAGTTCAAATGGATATTAGTTTAGACAATCTCAGAGACACTTGCATATTTAATCTGCAAATAATGACAAACTTTCCAAAATACAAAAAAGATTGATTCTAACAGAAAGTCACAAAAAGTACAAATTTATTAATAGTAACGTAGGGAAACATTTTACAAACCTTTTCAATTTATTCTTTAGTAATCAAGTTTATTTCAAATATGTTTTCTTGCTAGGACAGTTAGACAGCAATCCCCCCGTGTGTCTCTGTGTCTGAAATACTGAGGAGTAGTGGCTGTTCTCTTTTTCTTTTCAAACTTACATTTTTTTCACTCTATATTAAATATATATCTCACAGCATTGTAAAATTATTGTGCTATCTCTTTCTCTTATTAATAATTAACCTCATGAGGGCCTGGTCATTGTGAATTACAATGTTGTGATTTGACCAGAAGTAGATCATCTGATTTTTCTTTTTACACAAATACAGTATAATGTGAATTTTGCCCACCAGCATCCATCCTAAGTTAGATAACTAGCCAGGACTCAGACATGTTGTCTTTTTGATTCCATATCAATTATTTTAATAATAAAGATAACTAGATAATTCATAAAGTTAACTAGCTTAACTTACTGTAACATCAGTTTTCTGTGTCTTGTGAACATTATTCATAAATGGAACAAACTTGGAGTCTTAAAGGCTAATGCAAGTGTTTTTGAGTGCCATATGGCTACAGTTTACTGAAAATAACACAACTTAATAATTTAGCCATTATATTGATTCTGTACAAATATCCTTTGTTACATACAAGTATATTTTGGTACCAATCACCTTTTCATATTACATGCCTTGTTTCTGCGCATCTTCTTTTTGATCAATATTTGCTTCAGACTCTTTGTCAATTTTTGTTCTGTGCAAAATACATTTGAATGACACCATGATATACATACAGTATATACAACATGCTAAGGCTTGGCCTGAGTATTAAATTAAATGTGCTAGGTTTAAAAATTACTTGCCTTTGCATCCGATTATACATAGGAATGCGTTCTGTGCTGTACAAAATAAATCGTGCAAACCTTGTCACACCATTTGCAGCAGATCTTTCTTTTTCAAGCAGGCCAACGACTTAAGGTCCTCATAAAAATAATTTTAATTAAGGCAGATTTAGATGTACCTGCATAGTACTGTACATTCAACCAATTTATCATACATTTAGCCTTCCTAGAGTAAATGTTGGCAATTAGTTTAACAGCAGACACAATGATATAAGCTAAACATAGATAATACAAGGACCGACTGCTCAGCCAATGGGAAAAAAAGAAACAAAAGTGATATTAAGTACATTTAGGGATTCTTAAGTAAAGAATACAAACTGCAAGAATAAACGTGTCAAAAGAAAACTGAATATTTTTGTACTTTCTTGCCTATTTTTAAAGCAGTGTCTGTACAGTATATTATTGGGTAATGGCATTTTCTAAAATAAACCATCTTGAGACATATTTTACATCTATAATTTGAGATAACTGAGACACTCCTGTTGCTGAAGTGTGCTTATCAAATTGTTTTTATTTAATCAATACACTTTTTGGATAGGCTGTTCTTTGTTGCCCAATAAAATAAATTAATCTAAAAAATAAAAATATGTTTGCAAATAAATTAAACTGAAAACTCATAGAGGACCTGGTTGGTACAATTTCAGAGTTGGTAGGGAGACTGGCAGTTTTACACAGCTGGTTAAAAAACAGGTCATCATATTCCTCTGGTGTTGTTCTCTCCCTAAAAAAGAGATTTAAACAATATCATATACTGCATGTCCATCCAAGTTTACAAGATTTCCAGGATTCTCTAACATCATATTTTGTAAGAATAAGAACTATAATAAAAAGCATCTATAGCATCAAAAGATTTCTAATGTTAATATTGCAACTATTACACGAATCCTTATCTGGAATGACATGCAAGACCGAAGAGCTGTGAAGCAGCAGAGCTCTCAGCCAAACCCCTGCTTGTACTGTACATAATTAATTAAAAAATCTCTCTTCCTCTCATTTGGAAAGCAGATGTTTTCTGTATGTTCAAAAGTGGCTTTCGGAGATTCTGATCAGTGAAATTATGTAATCAACTGGTCACACAATATATTCTGTGTATGTGTAATGCCCATTACAGATCCAGTAACATGTCAATTACTTTTAATTTCCTGAATCTGCAGCCTAATCTTTGTGCTATCAAGAAAAGGGCTGTATTTTCCTTTTGGAGAGTGATAAAATGGCGCTGTTAGAATACAGAACCTGAAAATCTCTCTTGGACAGAGAGATTGAATTTCATATAATGCTCCATGTAGGATTCTACGTGTACATTTGTGCAATAGATGATATATAAATGCTTCAAGCACTGACCATTCAAGCCCCTTATTAGCAATTAGCAGATGGGTACAGAGTATCTACGAGGTTCCATCTGTCCACTCAGAAGATGTTTTGTCACCATATGTGTCTGGGCTTCAGGAAATACTACCCCATTTAATAAGTAATTTTAAGGTACATTAAGGAGTTGGAACTGGGTATTATTATATTGTTTACTAAAAACATTAAAATCCATTGTTTTTATTGGATTCTATTGAATCCAAAAGAATACTTTTTTTTTAAAACTTTTCTGCAGAGGTACAGAGAAATTTAAATTATGTAAGACTTGTGTCTATGAATAAAAGAAGCCAATGAAAGCTGTGGTCCTAAGGGTTTCATAGATTTACGGTTTGCTGAAAAGCCGCAATAAAAGTGCAGGCCATCATGTAGAATCATTAGACTTTCTGGCTTCATTTTAATGGCGTCCATTGCAGACATCCTATAAAACTGCTACCAGAGAAGTGAGATACTGCTTTGATCCAAAAGCTTGTACTATGTATTCACTTACAGTATATCCAAACATCCTTATTAAACACTTTAAAATATGTGCACAACAGTATTCTATAGCATCTTTGAAATTTAATCCTGTCCTAAAAAATAACATGAGCTGCACAATTCTGTAACACAAACATAATTTACCTTTAAATTTAATGCGTAAACGTGGAATAGTGTTTCCATTCATTATATAAGGAAATAAAAAACATTTCAATGGCACATTTTAACATAATATTCAACAGCTGAGATTTGGTGAAGTGAATACTGTACAGTATGTGTACATAACCAACACAAAACATATTTTTGTGTTTTTGGTTTTACATACAGTTAGAACCTGGAGTGTAGGAATGATCTAATTAAAGAAAAGGGAACAGCTACAAAATTGTAATAACCTTTCTTAATTTGTAGCATATTAAACATTTTTATAACCATACGTATATATCTTTTTTATTCCATTATTCAATTCCCTGTAACAGTGTAGATTTCAAATTAATTTTTAATGAGATACTATGCTATTTCCACATTCAAACAGAGTACATGAAACTTTACAGTTCTTTCAAGACTACAGCGACTGTCCATATCAATTTTAGTCAAAAAGCTAACTGAAACAATGAATCTTGCTAAAATACAGCCCTGTATATCAGCTGGATCTCTTCAAAAGTTTTTGAAGTTTAGAGAGAAAAAAAGCTTTCATTTTAGAATTTTTTTTCTGTTGTTTATATCCTGTTAGACTGGAAGACCAATATTGAAACAGAAACAGTATACAATAAAATGAGCACTTCTTAAACACTGATTGATAGTACTATTTAAAGAACAAAGTCAGATGTTAGATGTACAAAATACAACCCAATGGTATTAAGTTGTATTAACATGTGCCTTATATAATGTTGGTGGGTGATCTGGCAATGTATGAGTTTCTGTGTTACACCTTGGTCCAGGTTCTACCATATACTGTATACTGTAGTGTTCTTTAACTGCTTTTAAAGGGGAACTGCAATGCTGTTTTTACATTTTGGTCTTATAATGAATCAGCAATGATGAGTGCATTTCAAACCACAATTAAACTACTAAGTGCACGGTAATGTGTACAACCTCCAATTTACAGACAAAAGAGATGGAGTTTCAATATTCTATATTGCTGTCATTGTCTGTGATTCAGAACAAGACAACAAAACTTCTGGTGACGCAAAAGAGGCCCTATTACATTGTAAACATGCTTTAGACAATACAAATGTCGTTACTATTTTATTTATAAATATATATCGACACTTAGAAGGCAACATTTTTTAGATACTTTATCTAAGTATTGCAAAAAAGAGCAACTTGCCAATTATAAAAAAAATACATTTATATTCATTCTCTAGTTTTGCTAAAGTGATCTCTAATTTACATTGGTGGTTATTTTATGGTAAATCAGACCTAAAAGAAAAATTCTAGCTGGACTTATATTTTTGGAGGACTTGGTATGCCATAGTCCATGCCATCTCCTGAACAGCTGATTTTAATTAGTGCAATTGAATTTAGTTCACATATCGACTTTGACATAGTTTTGCTGACAAATACTACTTACCTATTAACTCAGCATGCAGATCACTTTTGAGCTTTTCTGGTATGAAATGTCTCCTGCACAACTTGTACTGTATTAAGCATTTTTTATTATTATTATTATTATTATTATTATTATTAGTAGTAGTAGTAGTAGTAGTAGTAGTAGCACTGGAAGTGGGCAGTTCCATTATATTCAGGGTACTTATTTTATTCTGTAAGGGCACTGCAGTATATAAGTAATTTTACATTTGAAACTTAGCAAGGTTTATAGGATATTTTGCACAGAAATTGTAAAAATACACACTGTCTTCCCTTTATGAACTTAAGGACGATTAGGTTGCGTGGTCTATATAAAAAGATTAAACATTGATATTTTAAGGAAAAGTTTCTTTATTCTTGCTATAATTTGTAATAATAAAAAAAATTCACTGTTTTGTAGGAAACACTCATGTCTATACATAATGACGTTTGGAAAAATAACAATGCTTGATAAATAATTGCTTGACTGGTCCAGTCTTAGTTTTAGGAAAGGTAAACATGATTAGAATGACATAACAAAGAGGTACTTATGAGCCAGAATATCAACAGGCTATTGCCTATAATTTCATTGCAGTCAGATGCTCGTATGTCTGGACTAATTATGTAAACTATGATACAGCAGATAATTATAAGTGGGGGATAAATCCTTTATCTCTGCCATTCAATATTTTTGGTTCAAAGTCACTCCAAAAAGTAACAAAGTATTTGCTGCAATGTACTTTATACATAATTGTAAAATGATATAGATACCTGTAACAGAACACCACAATACCTAATGTAATGTAATGTTTAATGTGTTAATACCTACTAAATTAGTTAAATAAAAATTGGTTCAGTTCCCTTTAATTTGTCTTTTATTCAATGATATTGTTAATACTCATATTTTAGTGCTCTGAAATAAACACATACATGGTATCACATGTTTACTGTAAACAGTCAGTGTTACATCTCTCTGCAAAAAAGGCTTTCTGAGAGGTGCTGGCAGATGGGTTCAATCAATCCTCCTTCAATAAATCTGACACTGCCTTAAACACAACAGATGTGAAGAGGCTGAATAGAAAATAGGACCTTTTTTATGCTAATAAAGGTGTTTAACCCGGAATAGTTAATAAGTCATCCACACACACTGAGTCACAGTGTGGAAAATTAATGGTTCTGCTTGAGGAAACAAAATAGCATACTGTAAAAGACAACAGAAATAAACAATGAATTTGATTTAAATGGTGAATACTTTATGGCATTTCATGCTTCAGGGGTTATGTAAACAATTCTTTTAAAAGATTTTAAATGCATAAAATGTATGTTCTTTAATGTGCTGTAATGCAGCCACTTTGATGATAGTTGGATCAGCTCTTGCTGGGCAAATTATAGTATTCTTTCCTGCTACCACAGTGATTTTTCCCTGCTAAGAGTAAAGGGTTGAACAAGCAGATCATTTATTTTTCTCTATTTCTAGGAGAGTACAGTAAAGAGATATAAAAGAGCTACATAACAGGGCTAATAAATCAATCACTTTTTTACCTGTTATTGGAAATATCTTTTGGGATGTTCCACCACAGGTATATACCATAGTTTCAGAATACCAGGAGTGCTGTGCCACTACTATATCCCATTGGAATGACGAAGAGTGGCATTAACTTATTAATCTTCAAGGTTTTATAGTCTGAAAAGACTGTAAAAATATTAAACATAAAAATGTACAATACATATCAATCAAAACAAAGTTTACAGTAAAAACACACATACTCTTACATATAATTAATTATAATTTATCCATACTGCAAACAGGTGGCCTCTGTGAAATGGGGAAAAAAGATAACTGAAAAATAAGTAATATCGCAATTGGAAGCATCTGTGTTTATATCATGACTAACATGAGGTGTGTGTAAGCAGGAATGAAGGAATTCTGTGTATTTAAATGCCATAAATGAGTTATTTATGTCATTTACTTTGAGTATGAATTCATATGGTGAAATTACTACACTATTTTACCATTTTTGCTGGTAAAAGTGTAAGAACAAGCACTGAGGATATTTACCTCATATAAAAGAGCAAACAGTATTAAACATCTTCTAGAACTACCTTATTGGGCAATTGCTGGTTTGTGGCTAGAGATGAGAAGGAATCTAAAGAATTTAAATTCCTGTAATTCCTAATCAATTCGTTATTATGCTTATAATGAATTATCATTCTAGGTGAGCTACTGTAATATCAGTTGGTACATACTGTACATATATAGTACCAGGCTTCCTATTTAGCATAGGCGCGTTTTAAAAAAGCAAATATTTTGATCTGGAACTCCCTCTTGTGGACTTTATTTGAAGACTGTAGCTTGATTTGAGAATGTAAAAGCCAACAAATTACCAGTTTATACACTCAAATAGTGATATAGTTTGCTTATTTAAAGGGGAAAAAAGAAAATCTTGCTTATTCCGAACCATAATCAGGTAATTTACAGATCACCTAATTAAAAAGGGAAATACTGTATGCATCCTTACTCCATGGGGTTTGTCTTTATAGAGGTACTGTATAAGATATTAAGAATTAAAGGATACTAGCTTTCTTTAACAGCATGAATAAAAACTAAATGTCTGTACAGTATTTTATCATGGTAAAAATGCAGTATTTTCATTCTTAACATTCCTCCAAACACACATAACAGTAATTATGGTATCTTAACATTTTACAGAACTTGTTTCAAGAAGTTAATTAATAACTTGGATGTTCATTGTCAAACAAAAATGCAAAAATGCAATTATTTTTTCTCACCTGTGAAATTTTATTTTGGGGTGGATAGGAACTCTTTCAATTCACTCTGAAAGACTTCACCATTGTCTTTGTTGAAATTAAGTCTAATTTGGTTTCAACTTCCATTAATATCAGACATAATTTTTGATCCATTCAGAATCCAAGTATACGTTTTCATCATATCTTCCATCTTCCTTGATAGGTGAACTGAAACTCTGGCTTGCCTATGTACCAGTTGAATCTCTTTCTTAAATGGGTGATACTATATAATATATAATATCGCTGCAACATACATATGACACTGTTTTCTTTCAGCTTCCAGCCTATGACGTGTAATTATTCTAGAGTTCAGAGATGCTCCTGCACTGAGTCCTTTTATAAAAACAAAAATATTATTTTACAAGCACCACATGATTGAGGTAAATATCTCAGTTTTAAAATATTGGGAAAGTAGACAGTCATCTTTAGGAACTAAATATTTATTTTTTTATGTCCCCTTCCAACAGAAAAAAAATCAGTCCTTGATAGTTCTGTAATCTTCTCATGTATTTATTGAAAATGTATCCAATACAATCTGTTTTTAAAACTATATTCCATTGTTTGGCTTATTTTTAATTTGAAACACTTATTGTATGGGCCCTAGCATCTTCCACTTTCACTGGAATCTGGAACACTGTCTTCATGAAACTGCTGAAAATGTTTCTAAAACCATCCCTTGTTGAGAAGTGAGATGTCAGTAGGGCACATCAGTTTATTTCTTCATGCTTCTATATAGAAGCAGCCGGGTGTACCACCTGCCTAGCAGGAAAAATCTTCAATTTAAGAGTTCTTAAATTGTGTGCACAAAATTTCACAACTTTTCTATATGGTACCTTTTTTAGGCTTTCTGTTATTTCGTTCAAAAATGTTTTCTTATATCTTCAAAACAGTGTCGCATTTCCACTGTTTTAGCATCTGGATCCAAAAAAAAAGCCAAAAAATAATTTCCTGAAAGGAAACACAAATGCCATGTCTCCGAGGTGTTCAAACTCAGCTTGTCCTTCTTGTGTGTTGTGATGTCTTGGACAACTCCAATCTTCTTACTTAAGATGCACCAAACTGTTTGTTCACCTGGTGACTAAACAATAACAATGCATTAACATTCTCTACTGTATGTGCACAAAAGGCCAATTAAAGAGCAAATTGATGCAGTCTCTTCAATCTGAAGTTGTAGGACTTCTATTCCCATTATTTACAAACAATTGCCTCCTTCATAGTTGATTATTGTGCTTTCTTGTTAGAATGTTTATAAGCTGAATGTTCATTAAAAATTTAGTGAGGAATGGATTAATTTGAAAACCTTCTGGTGTTTTCATCTTGATTCTGGTAAAGGATTATTGAAACAATAAATGAAGAATAATTTAATCAGTCATTGAAATTAATTTACTTTTACAAAGCAGTGATCATAAGGTCTTAACTCCCAACCACTCCAGTACCGTTTCAGTATTATGATATAATACTACAGTGAGGCCTTTAACTGATTATGAATATATTAGGACCTACCTGTTTTGGCTGACTGGAAGAGCTATGACCAAAGAATGAAGGCTAAAGAAAAAAACAAAAATAAAAATAAAAACTGAAAAATGGGTATAAAATAAAAAAGAACAGAGAAATAAGTATAGTTTAGACCACAGAAAGAAAAGGAAGCAAAACACAAAGCAAGAAAAGAATGCTTAATACTGTATGTGTCATATACTTATATTACATAAAACCTGAGATCTGATATTAATTAAATAATCAACTAACATTGTTGTGCTTTATACTTGTTTAATTCCATGCATTCAGCTAAAAATGATCCATCTTTATTTCAATAAAAGACATCTTTAAAATTAAAATTAACATGTCTAATTTAAAATTCCTTCCTTCCTTTCTTTACCAGGAAACTGCTTCAGCCTAGTAATGATCATGGCAAAGTGAATCCTATCCCAGAAGCACAGGGCACAAAGCAAGAGGTAGGCATATGCAAACATGGATAATTTACTTACTTTACACTAATTTACTTAACCCTCATGTCTTTGTGAGGTACAGTAGGAGGAAGCTTGGAAGATGAAAATGGAGCACTTGAGGAAATCCCACATGAAACTCAGGAAAGCATGCAAGCTCCACAGAAAAGGAGCACAAAGATGGAATCAAACACAGGGCCTCATAAGTAGTGAGGCAGCTGTGCTGGTTGCCATGGCACCCAATACCTAAAATTCATTGTGTAAATTATACCATTTGTGTCTGTCTGTAGTATTGACCAATAAAATAAAAAAAAATATTTACCTTCTCTTCTAATTCCTTTATCTGTCGTTTCTGTGCTTCTATTCTTTCTTCTAGCTCTTTAATTCTCTATAAAGTGTTATGCAAGACAAAAATAAACATTCTGATGTGTGATGCAGTCTATTTCAGATCTATAAAAATAATCTCAACTATTTATGATATTATATTAAATGGCAATTCATCACTTCAGCTAGGCATCCAAACACTGAGACCCCAAAACATACTGAAGTTTCCCCGTGTGTGGGAAAACAACCAACAACCACATCCTAAAAATGTCTAGAAGCCATAAAAGAAAGTGTGGCCTGTCAACTCAACAACTACCAAATTACATAGTTCGACAGTATGGGAAGCTTTTTGGGAAGCTCTTGAATGGGAAATTTTCTGTTATCTGCTGCTTCAATGGAAATGTGCGTGCTCTTGTGAATGAAGTGACAACCACATTTGTGCTACAGTACATGGGATTAAAGATACATGTAAAGTTGCTGCATGAACTTCTGAATAATCTGTGGAAAGATAGGTCTTTTTACTAATTTCTAATTTTCAGCTACATGTATGTAGATCATTCAATTAAATTAAAAGACACTAAAACATTTCATCAACCAACAGCCAACCCTGTACGAAAAGGGTGTTAAATTTTACTGTTAGCAATGTTAAAGGCTTAGAACTGTCTTCCGGTAAATCTACTGTAAGTATTTTATTAGCAAACACATTTTTCTCCTCACAGTGTTGTGCTGTCAAAAGCTGGCTACGCTGTGGGAGCTACAAGAATGAAAGGGAAAATGAAGGAAAGAAAGCTGTGCCCACACCTGTTGCGCATGATGAACCAGCTCCATCCTCTCTCTGAGTATCTGAGCATCTCTCTCTCGGAGCTCACTCATCACCTGCCGTTTCCACTGGTCCACTGCGTACTTCAAAGTCTCCCGCTCCTCGTCTGAGAGCAGCTCAGACATCTTGGCTCCAGCTTCCTGCTGCAGGGCATCAAACAGCATGGCTTCCAATTCAAGGATCCGCTGCCCATTACAAAAGGAGAGATACACTTACAAAAAAAAAGTCATGCATATTTCCTAATGAAAGCCAGGTTTCTTATTTTCAACACTTATATTTTAATCCAAATGCTTTTTCTAAAAAGACAGCAATAAAAAGTACTAATACGATGTAGGATTGTAGCACATCTACTGTGGAGCTGGGTTTCTAATCCTGGTGCTGGGTACCAACACCTGCTGGTTTTCTTTGAATTTCAGATATTTACTTAAATGAATTCTTAAACGACCCAACAAGCTGCTTGGTAACAACATTAGCAAGTTTTCTTTCTACTTAAAAGTTGGATATTTTAAGTTACTTTAAATATGCAATAGTTAAAATGTAGTTCCTAATGGAAATACATATTGAGTTCTAATTAATCATATTATAATGTCTATATAAATGCCTTATAGACATATAAATATACATATAAATGATATATATATATATATCAGCCAGCCTACTGAAAACAGCTTTTGGAGATCATTAAAGATAAATACATTTGAAGGCTACAGTATTTACACTGTAATATATTTTGTAAAAGCAAATAAAAATAGCTTTTAAGGCAAGTAAAAAAAATAGAAAATACTTTAGCTTTCACCTTATGTGCTTGATCCATTGACTGTTTCCTGTAGTCCAGTTCTTCATCCAGATACCCTTTCTGTTTACTAAAGAGCTCCTTAGAAAAAAAAATTACAGATAATCTTCCCATAAGATGCTCAGTCAGAAGGCAGAAAACGGAATATAGAAAATCTTTTTCAAGATGTCAATTACCTTTTCATTTTCAAGGTCCAGCATTTTTTGCTGTAAAGCTGATTTGGTGACTTCTATTTGCTGGAGCCACTGAAAGCATGAAATTATAACCATTGGGTTAAGTAGATATAGAACCATATACAAATTTTATTTGTACTTCAGAAATACCCCATAGATATAAACCTTATCCATATTAAGGGGGTAAATGCTACTCCTCTCTTGTGAAATCCAATAAGTGACAATGAAAAACAAAACATTCATTGCCAAAACGTACAAATTGCTGTTTAATTGTAATTCATTGAAATTACTTTTTTTCATTTTTTTTTTAACGGGGCTGTCTGTTTGAAATCTGAAAAGCAACTGCATCTTGTCTTTAATTTGTGCGGAAAGCATTCAGCTGTTTCATGCATTAAATTATAATATTGCCACCAAAAAATATATGAATGCAGCATTTTACTGTAAATGTTACAGCGACTTACTGAATCTCAGTATTTCCTTTGTAACAAAACAAAAAAACTTGCTAAATACCTTTTCCGCTAAGGTCAAAATTGTCCTTGCTTGAATGACAACTACTTGTTCTTCATTGGTTAAGTTCTGTATGATAGAAAAAAAAACAGATATTAATAAAACTCACTGGAAGGTACAAAGAAAAAGAAATATTAGAGCACATTAAAATACAGTTATATAACTTTCCAGTTTTTAAATTAATATTCATTGCAAAAATAACTTGTAATTAAGTAATTATGAAATGCACAACTTAGAAAGGCAACATACACTTACGGCGTTATCTCCTAAAATATCCAACTTTTTCATCAACTCTGTAATTACAATATCCTAAAAAAAAGGAGAAAAGATCAGATTATTTCCGCTCATATTTATGAAATATTTAACATCATGTGGATGTCAGAGTTGAGGGTTGTTGACTTACATTGACACCCTCAGCTTGGCAATACACCTGCAGAGGACTCATGCCTTCTGTAAACGGAATGTTATGAAAGTTGATTGCAGGGGATCTTCTCTCCCGCTCCTGAAATTAAATTAAAGATTGTTACAAAATTATCCATCTTGTGTGTCTCAGGAAAATGCAATGTTTGTTAAGAATTTTCAGCACAGGTTATCTGTTCTCAACAGATAATTATTATCACAGGAACATAAAAAGGAATTAAATCAGAATTTTGATAGAATCTAATGCCTTATCTTACTTCAAGTTCTAGGATACGGAACTCTAAAAGTTCGTTTTGGTCTTTAACATCCTGGATATCATGTTTCAGCCGTGATTCCTCTGTCTCCATTTGTTTAATCTAGAAAAACAGAAAAATAGAAAACACTTCATTAAATGACTGTGTAGTAAAAACGCTCAAACAATTTTTTATTTCTTTACATACTTAATACTGACCATATAGGAATGTCCGAAAAAAATCATTGTATTTTTTTTTACAATTGGATTGTTCATCCACTAAGAGGGAACATGAGCTGCGATAAGGCCACTGTTAGACAGGTTAGTTTTACTCTGCTGGTGATGAAAAAGCATTCCTGCTCAGTACAAGGGAAACTGCAGGTTCAGATGAGGTGTCTGAGCTTGGATGAGGATTAAACAGTAGAAGGCTCTGTGGAATTTTAACTGAAAGCTTCTGAAACAGAATCCCCCCTAAAATTGGAATACCAATGACTTTTCAAAGTTTAGTGAAATATTTCCAAGCAGTAAGTTACATTTCCAAGCATGATTTCAAACTTCACCCTGTGAATAAAAGACAGCTATTGAACACAGATACTCAGCAAAAATATATTCTACAGGTACTGTACCTGCCTAGTACGGTGTATATGATGAAGGCAGTCTGCAGTCAAACGTATTTAAAAATATGATATATGTTTGTTTTTGGCTATTTTCAGTTTTGTGCATTGAATAGTGATTAGGAATCAGCACCTCACCAGAAAGTTATGCATTCAGATTCCAAAGTATTTTATCCTTATTGTTCCACCATAGCTAGCTGGGTTAGAAATAACTGTATGCAAGAAAACAGACCATTATAACATCTGAAAATTACTTTGTATGATTATTAAATAATAAAAAGGCTACACTCACCTTATCAACAAGTTCCTGGTTCCTCCGATAGAGGGCTTGTTTCTCTTCGATCCATTTCATATCCTTTAAAATTAAATTTAATAATTTACAGCCAAGCATTAACTTTAATGTGTAATTGTATGATTTTAAAGTACAATTCTACATTCAATGTATTCATCTGAATTATTGTTACTTTGCTATATTACATATTTCTGTGTTTACTTTGCATTTTTAAAACACACAAACAGAGGTAGGTAAAGTAAAATAAAATCATATAAGTGATTTGGCAGCTAATTGATCTTAATTAAAATACAGTACATAAACATATACAGAAAAAGCTATTGCAATATATTATGCACAACTGACATTTTCATATTACAACACTTACAGTGTATGTCAAATATTTTTTTATTAGTTAATTCAATAACATTCAGTAAGTACAGTAAATAAATGGTTAAATTTAATACTTTAGATTTACTTAAAATTAGTTTTCTCTTTCAGTCTTTATATACTTATTTATACTGAGAGGCATTAAAAAAATAACAGAGGATTGTTAGATCTAATAACTTTTGTTGCATGCTTAATACGTTTCCATATATACAGTATAATGTAGCTTTTGGTGACATAAAAAAACTATTCTGACAGGTTATTCTCTTCACTGTTCTGAGCAAATTGCTGCTTTATCAGCACATGGTATTACATGTACTTAAACAATACATTTCTTGGCACAAAAATTCTTCTTAAACTTTCATTAAAAAGCACTCCTTTTAATCTACAAAGTCCCCTGATGTATTTTCATTTGAAAAAGAAAAGGCTGAATATGAAGATGCAAGCAGTTTTTTGACTAATCACCTACTGTTCTATAGTTAGTTCCATTTTGTCCTGTTTTATGGATGGGCCCAACATTAGCAATTTTCCAGTCAATACATATTACTCCAGTCTGTAAAAGCTTCTAGAAGAGTTTTGTTAATGGCTTATGAATAACAACGTGAATAATAACTGGACCCTTGAGATTACGTTAAGTGCTTCTAGTACCTGAGACACTTCTGCCTCTTATTTGCTAATAGTTTAATAGAGAACTTTGTGTTTGTTCAGCCTGAGGCATTTTGTTTTTTTCTAAAAAC